TTTCCCTACATGTAATTGCTTTAAAGAACTAAGATTGGCAAGTCATCCAAAAACTACCAATAACTGCTTCATTACAGCACAGTACATGCATCACACAAATCTGTACAGTCAGTTGAAGTAAGGGAAGTGTAAGATGTGAGCCAGAGAGATGTGACAATATATTTCATGAGTATGTTGCTGCCATCCCTTCAGTATTGCACATGAGTTGTACAAGGGAAGGAGGCAAGTGCCACAGAGATGGCAAATGAGTAAGTTCTTGAACATGAATTTCAATCTTTTTGGCTGGAATACACTTCTCAGCAAGCTAGCTGATAAATAAAGGTGGTAAGTTTCTAAGGAAACTATGGTGCTGTGTCAGTGGGAATGATCAACTGAGTTGATAATGTAAACTGGCCAATGTAAAGAGTTACAAAGCTGACGTTTCGTGCATTAGTCCTTCATCAGGCTAGTGGATAGTTGATGTTGATCCTGACATTAGGTGAATAATTGTTAAAATTTGATCACCTTCGAGGTCCACTTGATCATTTTCCCATCATAAATAATTATAATAAGTGTCTACACAAGCCTAAAAGTGGACTAACAAATAAAAAAAAAAGGTATAAAATATTCATTTCATAAAAGACATGACCTACCGCCATGTAGGGCTTGCATCCTGCATCTCTTGTCTTAGCAATGGAGTCAACAAGTTGGCCACTGATACCAAAGTCACAAAGCTTGATATGTCCATGAAGATCGAGCAAGATGTTGGAAGGCTTCACATCTGGAAGAGTAAAGACATATTAATTGATATGTACACCCCACCGACAACATAAATTGAAAAGATGAAGAGTTGACTGCAGGTGAAATATTGATACAAAAAAACACTGTTGTTATATCCATGATGACACAATATCAATTTAGACAATTAGGAACAAACCTCTATGAATGATGTTGAGCATTGTTTTAAGATAGTCCAGTGCTTTCACAACCTGTGTAAAAAAAAAAAAGGTTTGTTCCTTTCAACAAACAAGTTCATGCCCTGGCCCTGTTTTGAGGCACTTTGCAAAAAAAAAAGTTACATTCTATGTGTACAAAGATTGTAAAATAACAATATTAGTATCAGTAATAGTAATAATGACAAAAGAATAAAAACTCTAGTGAGACTGGAAAAAAAAACAACAACAATCAGTGGATCCATATTGAAATGCTGGCATAAACATTTGATCAACATCAAAAAGATGTAGGACAATAAAAATGATTATGAGAACAGTTATAAGAAAGAGTTTCCATGCTACCTTTGTGTTAATTCTTTAATCTATATCAATAACAAATTGAAAATTTTCAATTTTAAAAGTTCTCAGTATATTGCTGGAATGAGGTTCTTTTGGAAAGTAATTTCATTCCTTTTGCTGGAGCAGCATATTGAAATGTGGATTGGTCCATAGAAGTTTTGTTTCTCAGGAGATGAAGTTCTCTACCTTTTCTTGTGGCCCTACTACCAAGGAGTTTGCATGTTAATACAGAAAAAACCAACACCACTGCTAAAAATAGAAACTTACTGCCAATGAGGTCATTCCTAGAATGTCTTCTGGTATAGTTTCCATTACAACCCCATAAACATGCCGGTAACACTGGTCAAATGAGGTGTGCATCAATTCCATGCAGATCCATGCATCACCCTAAGATAGAGGCCAAGATATATTCAGTAATTTGGTATACAGGCTGCTTTACTGTAGATTAATTCAGAGAATTTAGCATTTTATATCAGAGGAACCTCCTCCAGATGGTATGAGTACAATGAAATTTCAAACCCATGGTGTTTTAAAACATTTCCCTAAGGGCCATTGAACCACGATACAGTGAATATAGAGTTTAGGTGACTGTCTCAAGTCAGTTCTTGTTTAGGTTTACAAATTTTTCCTATAATAGCCACTCCTTGGCAGACAAGGTGTCTGCAGTGGAAGGGTGACACTTCCCATTTGAAGGTTTCAATAAGACTTAAAAGAATGAGTTTACAATGCTTGAGAGTAATGGAGAGGCGGCTCTCACTTTGACTGTCCTTCACAGAACTAGTCCATAACAGCACTTAGTGCAATAACTCAAGCTCAAATTCGCCCTTAATCTACACTTTGCTCTTGAAAAGAAGAGCAAGACTGTAAACACTAAGAATATCCAAAGAGAAAATATTTCTCATGGCATGTACCTCAGTAAAAAGAGCTCCGTAAAACTTGACAATGTATTTACAATCACTGCTTCGCATGACAACATCCAAATCCATTAAAAGCTGTTTTTGCTCTTTTTCATCTACTGTTGAACGAATTCTCTGAAAGGGAAAAACAGGTGCTTTAAAAAGAAACCTTAAATTACAGATTAATTCTTATAAAACGGCACAGTTGATTCCCTCAAGAAGATGTCGTGACATAGGAAATTAAAGCACTATAAAGCCTCAGTGATTTGTGCATTTATTGGAGGGTTGGAAAGAGGGGGTAGCTGATTCTGTTTCACGCACAAATTTTTCAAAAAAATCACTCTTCATATGTACTTTAAACAGTATTTCATGTATGACAATTTCAAGATGGAAAACTTCAAATCTCATGTTACCTTAACTTTCTATAAAATACATGCATTATTTACTAATTTTGAACTTAATCTTGTGTCAAGTTTAAAAAACTTTGCCACCCTCTTACTGGTATTGCTAGACATGTTACTAACATTGGGTGATGGCACTGAACAAGGAAAAGAGGTCATCAAGCCATTGAAGATGTTTTTACCAAAAGACAAACCACAGCATAATAGTTTGCTATACTAGGACCCTATTCTATGGCTAACAGCAAAACTTTTCAAACAAGTATAGGGTAGATAGAAACATGAATATCAGGGTTAATTTACCTTAACTGCCATGTAGGTGTTGCTTTCCTTATGTAACATCTTATTGACAGTGCCATATGCACCTCTACCAATCTCACCACAATCATCCAGGTCTTCCGATGAATATTCATAATTCTATAATGGAAATTTTACACAAACAAAAAATACATATTAGAAGGTGCAAAAACAACAGCAAACATGACAGGTACTGACCATAATCTATAAAAAGTATTTCATGAAATCATAAATTTCATTGATTTTAACTCTGGAGTTCAAAGCTCATATGATAAGCCATAAATTTTCATTTCTGTTCATTCCCTTTCCCCACCTCCCTTGTGCAGCTAGATATACAAGAAAATAAGTAAGGTGCCTGCCTGTTCCTCTTATCAGACTCCTAGCCTAACACTATATCAAAGTCACCATACATTTAAGCCAATAGAGGTCCATCCTAACTAAGAAATTACATCACAAATAAAATGAAATAAAGCCATGATCCATGATGATTTTACCAAGTGCAGAAGAGAAGCCAGAATAAAAACTTAAGGTTTTAGTGGGATAGTGCTAGTAGTTGAGCCTTACTACCAACTGGGCAACAAAGTTTAGAGAGAGGAAAATTTTAGAGGTTTATTCTTCCCCACGGAAGAATCTGATATACATTACAAATTGTATCAGATTACACTACATTAATTGAAGTGAAAATGTTTATTCAATATAAATAGCTTACCTGATCCGGGCCAAATGACAGTTTTCCAACAGCTTTGTGAGTTCGGAGTCTTTCACTTAAAAAAAAAAATGTAAATAAAATCTTTTTGTGCCAAAAGTTGATGGTACTATCTAAAGGATAAATGACTTTCCAACATATTGATATTAGAAAAACCTGATAAACACGATAAAAATGATACTCTGTCTCTTACATAGCTTTATGTTGTGGTTCAAATGTTTCCTTTCTTTGACATTTTCAAACCAGTTTTGGCAAGTTTCTAAATAAACTGTGGTGTTGCATTAGAGGGGAATACTATAGGATAGTTTGGTTTAATCAGCTGAGTTGGTAATGAAATTAAAGAGTTTAAAAGGTGACGTGCTAAGTATCATGGCATCAGCTTAAGAGACAAAAATCACACAAGTTGAAAAATTTTGAACTAAGTGATAAAATTGAATCACAAATTAAAATCTACATTCATGGCATTATCAAAACAAGAAACAAATGAGGCCTTTTGAGTAGGATTGTTTCCACGTTTCACAAAAGAAATCATAAAATGAATCTGAAAGTTGAAACAGTGAGTCGCTAATGTTGCACAATGACAGCTGCAATTAAATTTAATTCACGGTTAATTGCTACTTCACAAATTGTTAGAATCGCGCTCTTTAATGACACAGACACCGACTAATGTCTTGCTGATCTACAATAAAATTGTTGGTCTTCTTGAAAGAGGAAGCTGTAAACAGGAATTCGATAGCTTATGTTATGCGTTAAATATTTATCTTACATATTGGATTGAAGCGGTGTTGGTTGTCGTGTCGCGAGTCCTGCGAGGTTTAACTTTTTTTTCTCTATTCCACCTTGGAAGTTCAGTTTGAGCTTCTCTCTTGACAATCTGCTACCTATGAGAGGCAAAAAAAATCCGTATTTGAGAAGGGACAAGTCCGAATAAACACACGCCTCAATTGAAACGCTGGATAATGGAAAATTTCATACCAAACCAAATTTATACACTAATGTAATATATTGCAAACAATATCACCCACAATTAAAGAAGCTTGCTAACGTTTTAAGACTAGATATAAGACCAGCTCTTGTAAATCATCAAACCTGTTGATCTATGTGCGCCGTTTAAAGGTAAGAACAAGCGTAAATTTCTAAGCTTACCTGGTGAATTCGACGCCATACTCGCCAAACAGCGAATAAAAGAAGAAACACAGCAGAAGTTTAGTCCTATTTTGACGATTTTCAGGCAGCTTTAGGACTATTTGATACTTCTACTTGTCTCAAAAGGCAATCATTGTGGAAAAAGTCTCTAAAATTAGACTAAAAGAAAGGTGAAAGTTGAAGTTATTGGCTGAATTTCCGACGCTAAAGGAAATTAATGCTGCGCATGGGTAGATCGCAACTTAGTCTCCAGTCTCTCCGCATCTTTCAATATGGAAGACTTGTTGAAAACAAGGAAGGATGGCGTTAAATATTATTCATGAGTCCTGCTGATCTGTTTTAGGCGCTTTTTTCTTTCACTTGCGATTTAAGTGAAGCAGGAATATTTCGATTTTCGTATTTCACCGAAAATGTCAGGAAAAAAGTTAATGAAAGGGTCAATATGACCTGATTAATGGTTCGCGAATTGAAAAGTTTATTTTGAAAAGAACTTGCCATTTTCGAGATGCCTGCCTTGGTGGTTTTTAATCGCCGATGGCGTATTGGTAGCGATGACTTGTTTTTCCCAGCAGCGGTAGGAGTTATAGTTAGACTAGTTTGGTGAGTAATTGTGGTGTATTTAGTAAAAATGATGTGCACAATTTGGACTTAAACTAGCTCTAATCATGGCCAGTCACAGAACATACCTCCTTAGAGATTTCTTTAATGAAATTTGCAGAATTTAGAAGCTCATTATCTGTTCCAATACCATAAGGTCATTATGAAAGACATTTGATTTTTATTTCAAGGTGTATTTTCCTTTAGTAGGTGTGTGTGGGTGAGGGAGAAAGAACTGGGAATAATAGTTGATCTGAGAATTGAAGAGTGTCATACATGTAACTTAAGTTCCAAAAGGTTAAACATCCATAGCTGGGGAATTTTGAAGAACTACTCCCACAAAAAACCTGTTGGTGGACTGTTGGCTGACATATAACCAACAGGCCTCTAAGTGACAATATACATGTACCTGAGAAGTAAAGTCCAAAACAAACCTTTGACTGGCATCAACAGGTTTTTCAGGAACTTGTTCTTCACAACTACCCCAGAGATGTGGCTGGAGAATATCGAACTTTGTAAAATAACTGTTTAATTATCATTATACACTGGCATGTATGAATTTTTTTTCTTATTTCATTGGCCAGCATACATATATCTCACTATTCATCCATTCTACCACCATTGTATTGATAGTGGGTGCTTTTCTCCCTTTAACAGACTATCTTAAGGCTAAAGAATTAATTTCACTGATTTTTGTCACAGATGTATACTATTTAGTTTGTTGAATACAGAAATAATCAAGGATTTGCCAACTCTTTAACTCCCAAAAGTGATTAACATGTTGCCTCTCTCTATGATATCCATTCATTATCTAGAAAACAGGTAATGAGAATATTCAAACTTATCAGGTAGAAGATATCTTGATCTAACATCAAACTCTCGTAACTAATTTACAAGGAAATGTGGAGCAGTTAGAGGGGAGAATTTACAATCAAATCTCGGGAGTTAAAGGGTTAAGAAACGCAAAGTATTGCTTAATATCACACAAATTGCTCTTTAAGACTTCTTGTTTTTTAAGGATACTACATTATGCACTGATAACTGACTCATTTTATCCACAACAATTAGGTTGGCTGTAATATCTATGACGTACAGCTTTGAGAATGATGAGATTAAAAAGTGTGATGCTCGGCTTGAACTGCGGTTATTTTTTATTGGAGTAATTGTTCTAACCAGCCTGGTGATTATCAATGAAATTGCCATCATATACATCAGTATACAGGGAACTGTGATGAACTCCAGACCACGGCAGTTAATGCCAGTATTACTTTATATCCAACTTGGACTTTATCTGCCAGAGCTGCTGTGGACAATTCTTGGGACCTACTGGGCAGTAAAGAACGGCTCTAGTTGTCAGCCAAGCTTGGTTATTGCTGTGTGTGTTTCAGTGACTCTAGAATGGCTGATCTTACTTGTTGTTTTTATTGGTGTTTTGGTGTTGTTTGATCCACTGGGAACAATTCACAAGGATCCATTTGGAAGGGAGTTTTCACCTGTCATGCAAGAATCAACAAAAGAGGTTTGAAATCAATATCTGTTAAAAATTCAGTTTTTCCTACATCTAGGAAGTTTGGAAAGACACAAAACTCTTGAACAAACATTTATCTCTCAAATAGGCTCTATAAATCCCTATGGTATAAACTAAAGCTTTTCATTCAGCTAATTTATTACTGACTGTTTTTCATGTTATCATGTTCCCATTAATAGTGTAGTGTCATCTTTCTGTTTATAAACCACACAAAACCCACAATTCTTTCACTCACTCTAACATACAGCTATGCTAGAAAGTCAGCTTTAGAAACTCCCTATGTTGGCAAATTTACTCTATCAACTCTGTTGTTGTGCAAGGCCATGGGTTCAGGTCCTAGACTGGAATAAGGGTTCTTAATTACTAAATGGAAAGAATTTGTTGCCCTCACAATGAAATGTGAAGCTGCTTTAGATGTCATGGTCTGATATGATAGGGAAAATATGCTGGGGTCTGTATCTTAACTATTACAGTTTGCAGGAGACATTAATTAAAATAACACAAACACAAAGCTCTTGGTACCGGTGTTATGGTGGAGTCTTTTTCTATGACTCAGCAAATTTATATCTTGTGCATCTAACAAATAAACAAATGAACAAAAAAGATAAATGAATAAAGGAAGTGAGTTTCCAGAGAAACTGTGGTGCTGCATTGGTGGAAGAGTATAGCAGTGTACATGTAATTTAGTACTATCACCTCAGTCGATAACATAAAGCCCTTTGTCATTTGCTTGAAACATCAGCTTTAAACTCTATACAGTGGCCAATTTACATTATCAACCCAGTTGATAAGTTAGACTAAATTAAGCTGAAAAAAAAGATGATACATTTATCTTTAGACAAAACTTTTCTCTCTAATTTTTTGATTTTCAAATCCCCAATATCAGCTTTGGGAGAAGAGATGTCGTTGGTTGTGTTGCTTCTTTACTGGCAGAGATGATCAGTACCTTAGTGCAGTGTCAGACATTGCAGATATTTTAGCCTCTGGATTGCATGGGGTGGACATTGTTGCTTCTGATGTTGCTGTTGGGCTCATTCTTCTTCAAGAAGAACAAGATCGTGAGCAGATGGAAAGAAAGATGAAGGGAGAAGTACGAGATCTATAGAATAAATTCTAGCTTTTGTAGCTGCAACTAGGCCTTTTACAAACAACTGCTTACATACAGGATACAAATGTAAAGAATTAATTGTGGACATACTGAACCGTTACTGTTGAAATTGCAGATGTTTGTTTGTTTCAGTGACTTAATTAGAAGCCGTTTTGAAATATTTGGGATTTTTGTATATTTGACTTGATGTACAAATGAGCCCATCACCATCCCACACCTCAAAATGCATCTAATCAGAGCACAGTGTTTGTAATTTGATTGGTTACTTCCAACCAGTGTTGTTTCATCAGTTTTAAGTATGAAACTTTGAGATAGCATTAGTTTTTGCAAAATTTTGTAATACACTAACCTTTGAATGAAAGTGATCTTCGCAGTGATGTGCACTACTTAGGCAGTAGTGAAAATAAGGCCTGAAAAAAAGGTCAGGCCTGACTTTTTTTCAGGCCTTATTTTCACTACTGCCTAAGTAGTGCACATCACTGCGAAGATCACTTTCATTCATGTCTTTATCCGCAGTTCAAATATATGACCTTCATATATTCTTAACCGTCTACACTAACCTTTACAATGTAGATGTCAAAAAAAAAAAAGTGTAAACTGATAACCTATTTCTAATTGCACAAGTTTGTATTTTGTCATTTTCAGAATCTTCAGAAAGGGACTCCTGTAAATCTTAGTGATCCTGTGAGTAATAATTATAAAGACTACATTAGAGCATAATACAGAAATACTGTAATTGACATGGGCCACAATGTGATACAATTTGGCTAAAGATCCAGAGATCTTGAATTCAAACAAATAGGATCAATTTGGGGTAATTTGTTTTGGATAGATACCAGTACTGTATTGAAATCATTTTGAAAGGTTTTTTATGTTATTTTGTAATGTGTTGTATGTTTAAATGATTTTAAAGAAAATGTGGTGACAGATAGGTCTGTAATGATGCCACATGAAGGCTTCTTTCAATCTGATGTCTTACCTAAGATGTAAAGGCAGGCAGCCTGAAAATAAGTCATGACTTTTTTTATTGTAGTTGAAAATAATTTGAGAAAGAAGGAAAAGGGTATTCCTTTAACAAAAATTCACCATGTGAATAGCTGGGGAAACAGATTTTCACCTCAAGGGGCATAGCCAGCTTATCGTCCTGTAGACCCTGGGCATACAATCTTTTCCGTCACTTGACTTTTATAAAATAATTGTTGCAAAATTTACAAAAAAAATACTGGAACTTTCTAAGAGTACTGGCCTACAACAAGACATGAGGCTGGCTATGCCCCTGACCTCCATCTATGAATGAGGATAACAACAATACCAACCTAAGCCTTAGCTTTCCATCTCTGTCACTACATTCTCTAAAAATGCCTACGTAATTTTGTACAACCATTATAAGTGTAAAAACGTTGAAGGTTGGATATTTCCATCACATTTTCTTCTAGAAAGAGAAATCCCTGGTACAGGATGCCACTCATTTCATGCAGTTTGCCCTTGGTTCCTATGGTTGGCCTCTGTACGTGTTTATGAATCCCTGTGTTGGGCCTGGTAACCTTTGTAGTGGAATAAGGTATTTGAAGTAAACTACAGCTGTGGCCATTAGGAGACGATACCTATTAACAGACAACCCTTTAAAAACGGCCCGTCTCAACTCCCCTGGAAACTCTCTTGTCCTTAAGCCTTTATCCCCTAAGAGTGACTAGCATCTAATTTCTCCTCACAGTATTGGCGTCTATCCAGTCTTCGTTAGAGGTAGCGTAGTCTTCCTTCCCTAACCCCAGTGCACGAGCTTGTAGTGTTAGCAGTACCGAATATTGATGCATTGATGAAGTGTGATTGTAGACTACGAGAAGTCCTTTCTTTCCGGCGAAGTGCTTCGCGCGAGTGAAAAAATAAAAACATTTTTGTGAAAAAAAAACATTGATTGTAGCGCCCCATGCGGAACTCTGTGAGTGAGGCCTAATTCACTCTGAGTGTTCCACGAAGCGCAATTTTGACTTATACGACGTACGTTAACGGAAAGGGGGGAATGCGCGTAGTCTGGGTTGACAGATGCCAGCGAAAATTGCACTCTTCAAAAAAGAATAGCTCTGAACGAGAAATCTTTCCAAAAATGTCTTCATCTGTTTTATTGCACAGGTGTTTTGGGGGTTGCCGTCCAGTGGGAGAGCACATTTTTGAAGACAACTGCTGTTATTGTAACTCTGCTGGGCTAAAACTTCAAGCTCATTTAGAGGATGTCGATTTGGTATATTGTTCTTACCACAACAAGGTGAAATATTGGTGTTACTTTGACGGATAAAGCCGTTGTTTTGGTTTTCATTCAGTTTACCGTATTTCTGACCCGTTTATGTCCTTCGACTGAATGTCGTTAAAACAAAACCCAAACCAAAGTGATGATAAAATGACAGCACCCAATCAGAGGAAGGGTAAATATTACACGGAGCCATGAGAACTCACAGTGCTCAGGGCGCGGGAAAACGCTGGTGACTAAGGCGCGGGAAAACGCGGGTGACTAAGGCGCGGGAAAACGCGAGTGACCAAGGTCTAGTTTTGAGTCTGATTGATTAAGAAAGTGGGAGTTTCTCCTTTTGGTGACTGAACACCACGTACAATTTATATTAAAGACGAGGCAATAGGGAATCAAAAATTAACCCGTTATCGTGGACGGGTTGAGAAACTTGTAAAGAGATGTTTTAGGTCACATGCTTGCTTGTGGAATTCTGTGAGCATGCCAACAAGGCGAATAATAATATCATTTTGCCGAAGTAACGTGACCTTAGTGTTATTAGGCCCGTAAAGATTAGCTTCAATTTTGTTTTAAACGAGTAACGCAAGGTGATTACAATACTCCTTTGGTATTCCTTCGCATTCACCTTGAAAACACCTGCGTTTCTGTACAATTTTTCACAAGTTGACTGTAAAAGAAACATGAAGACTACTATTTTTTGTTACCTATTTGTTTGTAAAGGTTTAAACAAACAAACAAGACAAGGGGAGAGAGAAAAATCCTTTTTAATTTTTTCTTGAAAGTGTTTAGTGTTTACTGAGTCCTTTTACGTTTCCTGCCTCTAGTTTTTGTTATTTGTTTGACTCTGGTGTGCAAATTGAAACTATGGCGATGCCGAGTTCTTTTCCAATAGTAATACATCAAACTCATGCCGTATGCTATTATATTTGAGGTGACTCCGCTGTTAGGTTTAGTGGAAATAGTTTTAGAATAAGTCCACTCTTCACGGGATTGCGTCCAGTTTTAGTGTTTTAGCCTGTTTTTGTTTGAACAGTTTCTTTTCCTTCAAATGCATACATGCACAAACGTGCAGTTACTTTGGCTCTCTTTGAGGTTCTTGCGATTCCTTGTCGACTATGCCGACGTTGTTTGTTTCTGGTCGCTCGGAGTCGTTACAACTTTTGTTGTTGCCTTCAGAGTTCTTCAAGTTATTTCGGACACGTCCTTGTTTGCTGGAATTAGCAGCCTTCCCTTTGTCAAGCGCTAGCTCTCCGACCGTCATAGAAGTTTTCCTAAAATAAGCATTTTTTACAAGTACACGACGCTGTTCCCTGGAGAATTTCTTCTCGGTTCCTTTTGGTTTTGAACGCCTTTTGGTGCACACGGCATTTATGAAGGGATCTCTGTCGCGAAAAACCAATATCTTGTGTAAATCGACGAGAATCTCGTCTGCCTTTGGGACGATGTAGTTATTAGTTCGGTTATTTGCCGATTTGAAAACTGTACTTTGTTTGTGACTATGATCTCCTTGCTTCGCTTGTCTCGCCACTGAAATGTCCAAACTTTGCACTATCGTCGTAGCGTCATAATACCGATTTCCCTGCAGTTCTAAAGTTTCTCGATGATCTTTTGCTTGTTCAGTGTTTAATTTCTGCGGTCTTCCGCGACGAAGCTTGCCCTCTTGGCGTTTCTCGCGCTCATCATTCCATGTTCTCTTGGTTAACTTTATGTGGTCGCAGATATTTTTGTTCTGACTCATCACTGTCCCTTCTATTCTTGTGATCCGATAGATTCTACGGAAATCTTTATGAAAATTAGTTTTAAGATCCGATTCTTGCTTTTGCCTCTTGACTAAAATACTTCAACCCCTTTCCAATCAACGTTGTCAACATTCCCACCAAGATTTATCCTTGTATGTCAAAGTATTATCTTTCAGCTGTACTTTTTGTCTCTTTTTGTAGCGTTTAACAATTGCTGGTAATTGCGTGCCAAAAATTCATGCACTTATTAAGTACGGTGGTAATTAACTTGACAGTGGGCCAAAAAGCTTTTCAAAAGACTCGTTAATAAGCGATTTTTTGAGCCAACGAGAGAGTTGATTAGCAGTTGAGTGAGCGCAATCGATGATATTACTTTGCTTTTGTTTCAGAACACACTATGCAAATTTCCAGTGTTTCCGTCTTATCAACAAGTTAGAAAGGCATTAGCAAAAATAAATAGAAGTAGTCATTTCAGTCGGTATATTGATCTAATTGACGTCGTTGGGAGAAGAAAGGATATAAATACTGACTGTGAGGGAGAAGTGAAAAGCAGCCGCTTATGCGAGTGGAACAAAATAAAAACAACAGCAACTACATTAAGGTCTTAGAACTAGGAAAAAAAACTTTCTGAAAGTTAATTTAAGTAGTATTATGTTCGTGCTTATCCTTGTTTCGAGAGAAAAGCAGCCGCTTATGCGAGTGGAACAAAATAAAAACAACAGCAACTACATTAAGGTCTTAGAACTAGGAAAAAAAACTTTCTGAAAGTTAATTTAAGTAGTATTATGTTCGTGCTTATCCTTGTTTCGAGTTTACGGGCGTTTTTTCTCGGGTTTTGAAACTTTTTGGCGTTTATCACAGGCAAATTTACACAGAACGCTGTTAAATGCTAAAGGGTATCCCACAATGGACTTTTGTCTCAGCTAGGGGTTGTTGGGGGAGGAGGAGGGAATATTAGTGATACCTCTAAGAGATAGATCACTATTATTTATCACTTGGGGAGCATCGGAGCATTCCGGTCGTGTCATAATAAGCCTTACCCGATTCCCCTAAGGTTCTGTAGTGTCGTAATTCCCTCCACCCCACCCCCTCATTGGCGGTCTATTTTCTATAGTCCTCCCCCCCTTATTACTATAATACTTGTTTAGAGATGAGCTTTAAATAATCCTTGAAGAAAATAGTTGATAATCTCCTGTTCATAGATATTGCAAATATTTTCTCCTAAGTGCGTAAAAGGCTAAAAATAATTTTGCCGTTTGTCATAAAAGTTGAGCTTGAACCCTGTAATAACTTGCTGATTAAAGTTTTTTTTTTTCTGCAGATTTACGAACCTCCTTTTTATGTGGCAGTGGATCACGATTGTCAGGCAGTGGTGGTCTCCATTCGTGGATCCCTCTCTATGCAGGCTAGTTATTTATTCAACCTAACTATTTATTACAAATGATTAATGTGATAGATGGTGGAGGTTGTTGTGGCGGTTTATCCGATGACCAATAAAATAAGGCCGGTTATTTCGAAACTTTAAATCACTTTCCTACATTTCGAGAAAACGCGTCACGTTATGTTGACTTTGCATTGCCCGTGGGCTTAGACAGCTAAGCAACCCATAGCCTGCCAGTGTCACATCTCTTTCTACCGTAAATCAATCCCTGTTCCTTCCCCAACCCTTACCCCTCTAACATCAGTATCCATATTCTCCATACTGTCCTCTATGCATTCCCTATGGTACAGATAAGGAGAATTTGTATAAAAATCAAGAGCTTCTTTAGTTGGTGATCATTTCCTTTATTCTCATGACCTCAATGTTTGTTTTAGGGGGGATAATGATAGGGGAAAATAGTAACCAATCACTCTTAGGGGTTAAAGGGGTTAAAATCGCCCCAGTACAAAACGTGCGGTGCACGGGGGTGCGATGTCGTGTAAATATGATTATACGCATTTTACTCCTGAGCAACTCGCGCTGGCTAACAGCGTAATGACTACGACTGGGAACGGCTCAAGGGGTCGTTTCTCGAAGATTTCGGTAACTTAACAGGCTCGTAAAGCTGTTTTGTTTTTCTTTAAGGTGGGAGTTTCAAAAGTTTTTAAAAATTCTTTAATAAAACTATCAGTTGAAGAAACAAAATAGATTCTCTTAAGTGTCGGAACCTGCATCTTTTAAAATTTTGATTTTAAATCATTGCTTCCGGCCGGTTAACTTACCGGGACTTTCGAGAAACGGAGCCAACGTTCCTTTCCTCGCTAACTCTCTAAATGCAGTTGGAGGCAATATGGCGGAGTACTGTGGACGCTGACTGCGTTCATGAGCAAGCCCTTTGTGTTGTGTTCAACTCTAAATCTACCTTCACAAACAACCAAATGGTCTGCCTCCTCCTCCATCCTGACCACAGTCAAGAGGTTATCCTCCGTCCCTACGTGGGCAACACTAGGCAGCTTTTTAGGTCAGGCTGTGCCATTTTTTATGGTCGTTGGAGGTGATTCTAATCTTAACTTCATAGCTACTTATTATATGTAACACTTGTTGTTTTTCATCAGGATGCTTTGACTGATCTGACTGGGCAGCAAGAAGAACTTAGCATTGAAGGAACTGAAATTACTTGTTATGCGCATAAGGTATACAATCGCACTCTTTTCGAATGTCCATGCGAGATTTTGCTTTGGGAAGTCTCTGAACGCGTAGCTCTTGTGACTTACGTATTACAAAAAAAAGGGGACTCAAGGAGGGGAAATCGAGATTCAGTCGTGTTATTGTGAGCTGTAGCTGATAGAGTAAAATAATTTGAAATTAATTCGACAGCCAGCGCATGAATTTTTTGCCAAAATAAGTTTATTAGCCCTTTTAACTCCCAAGATCTGACTTTTTTTCTCCCCTGTAGCTGTTACTCGTTTCCTGGTAAATTAGTTAAGAGAATTTGGCATTAGATCTAGATAACAACTGATACATGATAAGTTTGAGTATTCTTATTACTTTTTTGCTGGATGACGTATGGATATTATAGGGAGAAGTTACATGTTAATCACTTTTGAGCGTTAAAGGGTTAAGGGGAATGGATATTAGAGAATAAGAAAACGGCGAGGTTTAACACCATTGATTTTTCTTCAAATGTTTAGAAAGGGGGCGAAAAGCTATTCGGGCGTTCGGAAAATCGTGCAGTTTTAGACCATAACGCATTCTAACCAATAATACTCCAGAGGCTCGTTAAGCCGGTGACACACCTGGCGAGTTTATTCGCCGATTGCGGCGACCTTGATCGACCTATAAAATCTTCGATATCTGGCATGTCGCGGGGATCAGCGAAAATCGCAATCGCCGCAATGGGCACACCTCGCCGATCGCCGCTATCCGCACATAAATTCGCCAGGTGTGTCGCCGGCTTCAAACGCATGAAGTTTTTATTTTATAGAATGGTTGAAGAAAGTTAACTAATGCTGATTTGCTTTATTTACTTTTTCATAGCATGAATCTTTCTCTTCGCGGTGTTATTTGCCCCTTAAGTTTTCTTCGTTTGTTTTGACACACTCTTCATTTTACTTCTCAGGGTATTTTGCTTTGTGCACGCTATGTCAAGTCAAAGCTAGAAAAGGAGGAACTACTTGAGCGTGCTTTCTCGAGAGCTGGCGAGGTAGTGTACATAAAGTAGGAGTGAACTCTTGTTAAAATGAAACGATTCTGCGCAATGTAGCTGTTCTGTGAGATTTAGTATTCTATAATTTCAGAATTTTAAACTGCTCTAGCTGACTTATCAAACGCCATCACCGTTTTTAGCGTAGGATTTAGAAGTCTTGAAATGCTCGCGAAAAGCTCTGTGTGTGATTGTAATTATCAAGTGCACGCGTGTCATTTAGCTTATTTTACCTTGCCGTAAGAATGCTGCTGCTAATTTAAGGGTTTTGCATTCAGATTGATTTCATTATTTTGAGCAATATTCAAACAAGTGTCGAAAGTAATTAGGATTGCCCAGGTTTTGCCTACATCGCTCTGTGATTGGTCCAGTAAACTCGTGTCACTTCCCTCACCAATCAGATGCAAAACTTACACCAATCGCGACTTGGTCACCCGCGTTTTCCCGCGCTTCAGGCAGTTGGCTTCTAATGACCTTCATTTCTCATTGGCTCCTTTAGAAATTTTCTTTGCTCCTATTGGCCGTTGTGATAACCTTTTTCGGTTTTCACAACACTCGATAGAAATGCACCTAAAGAGAGAATTTCTTCTCATAGAATTATCGTCTCGTAATCGTTGGTCATTCTCTCGGTGCTGGAACTGCCTCGTTGTTGTCCGTTCTTCTCAAACCAACTTACCCAGAATTGATTTGTTTCGCTTACTCCAATCCCAGCGTGCTCAGGTACGTAATTCATCTTGTATTCTTGTTTGCGTTTGATTTTGAGTTAACAGCAATGAATGTGTGAGCTGGTTTTTAAAATGGCGTCATTCGTGGATAATTGCTCCCGTATTTAATTTTTGTTCATAGTGCTCCGGCCACTCCATTTTGTGAAGATTTTATAATTTCCGTTGTTCTTGGAAAGGACGTCGTTCCTAGGTAAGCGCCTGTTTTCCTTCAGAGCTAAATAAATTTTCAAAAGTTTTCTTGAAGTAAAGTGGTTTTGCTCAGTGGTAGAATTTTTGCCTTGTTTTTGTTACAAAATTTGTTCTGACATTGTTTGAAGCTACACTGGTTTGCAGATTTAATGAATGTAACCGAAGAAGTTACAATTCATAGACCCCACGTTTCGACACTCCTGTCTAGTGCCTTCATCAGGGGTGATCTAAACGCTGCAACAAGAGGTCCTTTTATATGATCACTAATTAGCGGCCTTTTTTTCTGACGAGGTGTAAATAGGCGTCAGGAAGCAGACCGCCATCGTCACGATTTAAAGGAGCGTAAGGCGCTGGTGGTAACGCCGATTAGTAGTGATAATTTTAGAATTATCCCACCCAATTGTATGGTTGGTTAGGCAAGTATGCTCCGTAAACTGAAGCAAGTGTACCAAACTGGCGTTTTCTGTCCGATGTATTCGTTATCACAGTCAGTCAAACGCCAGTTTGGTTCAGCTTTAAATAACCAACCATACAAAACGTACTCTCGCGTTTTCCATTTTACATGTCTGATTGTCCACCTGGTTGCCGTGTGAACTTTAATATATAAAATTTGCTCTTTTTTGCTCGCATGATAACATCACCTTATGTGCCAATGCCGTAACTGAGCAAGATTTTCCCTGCTTTCTTCAAAATAAACGTACTCTCGCGTTTTCCATTTTACAGTTTCTTTGCTCTCTCGCTTCCGTACCTCTACAGTTTGTATTTATCAGCTAAACTCTTCCCGCGCTTGCAAGTAATTAGATTTTTTTTCCCTGCTTATTTCAGTCATTGGTAAGATTATTGATCTATGTTGCACATTTCTTACGTATTTTGGATCGTTGTTAGTATTGGGGTTAGGGGAGGGGTAGGAACGCAGTTGCCCAGATACTGACATTGTTCGCATATTTTTCACTCAAGTTATGTTGGTTACGTAAATTTTTTCTGGTTGATGCTGCGAAAATATTAATTGACGAAAAGTTAGTATACTCACCTTCATCTACTTTTATCACGCAGAATGGGAGTTAAAAGCGGGGATGAGCTCCGTCAAGATCTAGTGGCTGTTATTTGTAAATGCTCCCTCCCTAAGGTATGCGGTAGAATAAGGCACGTTCGATATAATCAGTAGACGCGAGCCAGGAAAATGGGTCGTGTACATGATGTTGAGTAACCTGGCAGTTGTAAAAGGGGTATTATGGTACACAGCCATTAACGTGACTCAAATGAACCAATCATATGTCCGGGTTGTCGTCTACTACTTCTGGTTACTTGAAACGGGACTTTTGTTTTTTCCAAGTTCCATCGCATTTGAAAAACATGTCTGGTAGGATTGGGAACTTATATAAAGATAGGAAGAGGCAAACGAAAGAAGAGAAAACAAAATAGAAATCTTTAAGGTTTAATTTTTTTAACTAATTTTTCCCGGAAAGTTTTCCAGTAAGCCTCCAATTTATGTTTTTGGTTCAATTTTCATGGTTCGGGCCCAAACATTTTGATTATCCTTCTTGTACATCGTTTTTCATCTCATTTTATTTATTTATACCTCTTCGCAGTACCGTGTTCTTATGAACGGCTGTTGGCAGGCGCTGTGTTTCTTTCTGGGTCCCAGTCTCAGAGCTGGACAAGGTGAAGATCGGCATTTTTTTTCTCGCACTCGCCAGTACAGATCAACTTCTAACCATCATTCGTGGGAATCTAACTTGACCCAACCTCTTCTAGAAGGCTCTCAAGGTATAATAACAGCTCAAGCTATTTCACCATTTTTGACCTATTTAATGCACTTTGCCTAGCATCTGCTAATAAGTCAAAAGTCCTTAAACAAAATGATTCAACTTCACGACTTTGTCACCCATTTTCCATCGTCTTAATTGCCATTTAACCACCAAGGGTCTTAAGTTTTTTCTATATCAAGTATCAGCCCTAATTATATCCAACCAGTAAATCTTTGCTCTTCGTTTGTTTACCAGACGATACTTTAGTTCTGACCCCCGGAGAGCCGTCCACTGGATACTTTACTGAAGGCGAACTGGAATCGGCCCCGACATCATCCTTGACACCAGTCTCCGCTGAACAGTTATTCCCAGCCGGAAAGATATTACAGATCGACGAGAGGCCGTCTGTCAGGTGAAAATTGCAATTTCCCAATTTGGCCGGGTTGTTTCTGTTTATTGTTTTGCAACCCAGCTAAAAAGTGCACCTCCCCTCCCAACCTCATTGATATCCTGAGACTTGTCCGCAGGTAACCCGAGATTTTGATTTCCGTCATCTTTTCCTATCCACTGAAATCGGAGAAAAGACGCTTAGAAAGGGTTTTACTGGTTAAGTTTCCGAAAACAAATTTGCAGATAGGTAGATCTCGTCTTGTTGAGCCCCAACTTTATGAATCGAACGAGGGCTCCTAGTTGAGCTTTAGACTGAGTCTTGAACAAGCTATATAACATTATATATAAATCAGGAAATTTAATCGTTTTACTGGTTCTCTTTTTGAAAGGTTGGAAAGCCCGCAGTTTGACGTCATGTGGGCAGACAAAGAGAACTACGTCAAGCTTGTCATCCATCCCAGCATGCTGAGCGATCACATGCCTGATCGTGTTATGAAGGCACTAGGCGGGATATTGACACAAGATACCATCGTTCAAGAAGTTTAATGGAATGAGTGTTCATTACTACTTTTATGGGGAATTACTGACATCACAACTGTGTTTGGTGTTGTAAAAGATTAGCATAATTGCTGAATGTTCAAGTTTGTATCGCGGTGTGAAGTTAATATCAATTGAGGAGATACTATCAAGTGTTTGGCTTTGTAATTTGTAAAGTTGGCTGGGATGAGAAACAAAGCGAGATATCTTATGAATGTGAAAGGCAGAATGAAGATTCTCCTACTCGTGTCACTACCATATCTTACAAGAGGAGATTTAGGCTATGAGATGCCACTCCTTTTTTGTGAAGTCCGTTGCGCGATTAGACCTCTTTGAAAAGGAGGGACAGTTCTTGGTCTCATTGTGGCGTTTTTTTTTATTTATGAAAATAGACCTCTTCAGGAAAGCAAATGTATATTAAGAAAGAGAGACTTCGTCTCAATACAGGCTTTCTGCCGAGTAATATATGTTTTATAAGGTAAAAATAATTTCTAGAGTGGAACGGCCTCGCAAATTATATGTCAAAAACAAGAAAGCGTACTTCTTTAACAAGAAATGACGATATTTGACCCAGTGGTAGTAAAATGAACTTTAGTCTTTCAATAGTATTAAGGTCCTGCGAATTTGAAGAAAATGTGTTACTATTATGGTGATCAATTTTGCGTCATTTAATGCAATGAGGAAACTGGGTTACAAAAACTGATAAGGGTGTCATTGTCACTTCAACCAATCACGAGCTAGGCTGCAACTCAACGCACGCGCGTTTCTCGCGCTTTTCATTCAAAGAATTGTTTCCCGCCCTGCCGTGTTCTACTCACGTTGATGTGACTTGAGTCTTTTACAGTGGGTTTTGATTGCGTTTTTTTTTTGTTAGTAAAAATAAACTGCTTGAATTTCATAGGTTACTATGAGTTGATAGTTGCCAGCTCAATGTGTTGTTATTGAAACTCGTTAAATGACATTCATTCAATGTTTCCGTTGTCAATCAAAAAAGTTACATAATAAGACTCTCCCTAGCTTTTTTTTTCCGCTCGAACCGGGCGGAGAAAACACCTAATCCGCCTTAATATTGAAGTCGTTCCTAATTAAGGTCAGACGCCAGACTTTTCTTACTCATGATTTAAGATATTTGGTTCGGCTCATGAAGAGTTCAAATTTTAAACCTGGCCTTATTGGTTTGATGGATTAAACAGGAAATGTTGCCTAAAACGTCACAGTCAAGTGAAAAATATCTAAGGAACTATATTTAGACTAGGGCTGAAAGCTCATCGAGGCTTCCGTGATTGTTTCCATCCCTTCTGAAGTGTTTGCTCTTGTGATGTGTTTTTCCCTCTGATGCTTTCAGGAATTGTGTCAAGTTTGGCACTTTTGAAATCCACAGTAATCAACTTCGCTGCCCCAATTAAGTCTATCGAGACAAAATTTATAACCCTCATGGCCGCGGGCCGTTCTTTGTGCTCATAAATCTCGGAAGAAAAACATCACTGATAATTCTAACCGTCATGACTGTTCTTTGGTGAAATTGTGTTCAATTTTGTGGGTGATTAATAGAATTTTCCTCGAGGATTCAAACTGTCGAGAGAAAATTAATGACTGTAAGAAATTTGTCGGAAGTGTAGCCAATATTTAATGCGGGAATTTCTTGCGGATAGTGTTCAAGAACTCGAGTACATTGGCAAATTGTCTTTCATAAAACCAGAGATTCTGGTGAATGATTAACCCCGGGAAAGCAACAGTTTTTGCAGGAACTTATTCCCGTTGCTTTCCTTATATCGTTTGTCTGTTTTCACGTTGATTTTTTGATTATGGACTCTAAATTAAGAGAAGTACTCCTTTAAAAGTGTGTCAATTTCCTGCGACTTTTCAAGAAATTAAATGAAAAAATGATGCTTGAAAGAAAGATAAAAAAGAAATGGATTTAGTTGTTATAATTTTTGGTCCGGTTCAGGTTAATCCGTGAGCTGTATAGTTTAAAGCTTTATGATGAGGAGTCTTTTGAAGCCTTGTGAAGCTTGCATGAAAACTAAGATCGAAGTCTGTCACTATATTCTTATCGGTTCCGTTTACGAACACTAACTGTAGAGTTATTGTGATGAAACAAAAAAAAACGGTTTGTTATCGGCTTGTTTTGAAACGCTTGTCTTTTTTAATTTAATCCCGTGTATAAGCCGCCTCCTCAGAGACAGAACCGCCGAGAATTCCTACGGCATTTTATTGGCCCCGGGGTTCTTATCGGGATATATACCGTGGTAAATTAGCACACTTTATGGGGGACAGACTTACCTTTTATTCAAAAATATACTTTTCTTTCACCACAGTTTTTAAGTGGAGACCAAAGTTTAGCTAATGGTTCTTCAGTAATATTACTGTGACCTTTAGCTCTCGATTCTTATGCATACAAAAAAAGATGTTATTTAGGTTAGGTTTCTAAATATTAGTCCTTGTTTTTATGGAGATAAGATTCCATCTTTGTGTTTCAGCTGCTCTTGATACTAAAAAATGAAATATAAGAATCGAGTTCGTGTATTTGACTTTGTGTTCGATAAATTTTCTGCGCGAATGGTGAATTTCCTTCTTCTAACTAAGGAATCATTTTCCATAGAAAATTTCCTCAGACATTAAAATTCCTTTTTTGCGTGATGAACTAAGCCGAAATGGTCTCCTGCGACGATAATTTTTAGCAAGCTTGCAGGTGCAACGCGAAATTATTCTTAGTCTAATAGGAATTGAGTCGAAAGAAAAGTTCGGATATTATGCAACAAAGCTGTTCTAAATTTGTCACTACCCAGTACGAATAAAGTGTTGTTCAGTTTTTGTGTCTCAGAATTCATTCCAAGCTGGTTATTTGTCACTAGAGCCCCTTGGGTTTTAACAGTTACGCTTATTCGCTTGCCTTTTTTTCGTTGCTCAAAATGAGCTGGCAGACGGGATGAAGCTTGAGCTTGATAAAATCTTCGTTGAAAAGAAGAGATATTTAAAACCATTTTAACACCCAGCGCACAGAAATGAAAAGATGAATGATGATGAAATAAATATGAGATTCAGACCTAACACCTTTTCTTCAGCCAAACGCAATTATAAGTGTAGCAAGAGATTCCCACGAGTCTGATAAAAATTCAGTTTTAAACAAAATAAAAACAGCATTTCGCCAGCGAAAAACTAACATCTTACTCCAAGCTCTAGCTCAATAATAAATTTTCACCATAGGGTGTATACATGTCAATTGTATGTCTTTGAAAGCGGTTCAAATAGTTATTTTCAAACTAAACGACAGTTAATTTTCTCGCGGCTTTGTTTACTTATCTAATGTCAATTTTTAATTTTTTTTTTTACGTCTCCGTCACCGTCGTCACTGACGTCACCCTGTGTTACCATAGTTACATGAACACCCCTGCAAACTTCAGGATTAATTGTTGGTAATGAAGTAGGTTAAGGGTTAAGCTGAATTTTAGCAGGATTGTTTTATTTTTCCATTTCATCCTTACTCGTTCGATTGAATAGGAATTCAGTTTTCCGAGTGGGTTATAATCGCTGATTATCGTTGTGATTTTCAACTAGATTATGAAGCTAAAAAAAGGGAGATTCTGTAGTCAGTACAATAGCTACTAAGACTGTATTGAAACGAAGGGGCGAGTTTTCTTTGCGCGCTAGACTAGCAATTAACAGTTGTGATAAAAGGCGTTTGTAATAAAAAACAGAATATTTTCAATCAAAAAGTGGAAAAGACGGAGAAAATAATGATCTTCGAAAAAAATATTCAAAATACGTGACAAGAATTCGTAAATTTTGCATGACCACGAGATCAAATTCAACATTTGCGACGAAATGAAAGCATTTGAAGTCGCGCTCGCCTTTTGTTCTGACTAACTTTCCACATTAAGTACTAATATAAAATGTCTCTCTTTCGTCCTGGTTCGGATTATTTGAGAGACGTTATTTTTTTTTAAGATTTCTGACACAGTTGATATCGTTAGTTTCGGAAAACACTGTGGTTTGTATTTCCCTTTTTCGACTGTGTAAACACAGGGGATCGAAGGTTAAACTGGAGAACAAGTGCCACCGGTTTCTAGGCAAAATGCATCACTTATTCCCGCACTTTGGAAGAAACGGTTGTTAGTAAAGTCAAGCTTTCGGAAAATTTTGTTTACGTTTCTTGGTGGCATGAAAGAAAAAAATTGAATTGAGAATCGAGGTGTCGTACGCACGGAATCACAATAGAAGTATCCAATGGGATCAGTAGATTTTGACGGTTAACACATATATCAGGCTAGATAGCCGGCTCATTTTATGCAAATTCATTAAATCTATATTGTTTTCCTTTTATTACAAATGCTGAAACGTCAATATGTCAGTATGACAGCTGGTGCTGTAGATTGTGTTTTATGCTGTTAGGGACGGGAAACACTCAGATCTTCGCCATAATATATGTCAGTACATTTCACCATCTCACATAGGCGGGAAAATGAAGTGGTTTTCTAACAGAATCTACAGTTTCTAAAATCAGACTGACATGGTTAAACCTCTGTTCTCAAAGCGGACGATGGATGGGCTGCTTTTGTTAACGGTAAGTTCAATTTGAGTCAATTCGTACTAACCTGAACATGGAGTACCTTAAATGTACACTTAATCCTTAAAAAAAGGTCTTCTCGCGTTATGCTTGCCTCCAAATCTAAAAATTTTCTACTTTTTTTCCTTTAATTTTACAATTAGCTTGCCCTTCTGCAACTTGAAACGAGACAAGTTATGGCCGGTAAGTTATATCGTTATTAATTTTTACCTAGCTGGCGTTAGAAATTGTCACTACCAGCCCATTTTATCTTCACGTTCATTACGCTGAATTCTCTAATTTTGTCGCGTCATGATTATTCGATTCTTCCTCAATTACAATTCTGAGCTGGTCTAACCCTGCGAAATATTAACTCTAAAACCATCCGGTTATATCAGATGCAGCATAGTGGAAATTTTCAATCTTTGGTTCAGTTTGTTGACACAGCCGGCCTACGAGCGGATGGTTTCTTCTTCCAAAAAAAAGTACGACACTTCATGTCTTCATTGCAAAATTGGTACCACACGCAAATAAACTCTTTATTTCGCAACCACAAGGACTCTATTAAACCACAGAATTTCCTAAAGTTGGATAGGTTCTCAGGAAAATCTTCATTTGAGAATTTCGCGCCACGAGTATTCAGTATTTATGAATTTCTCAGGTACAGGCGACAACTTTTCATTTCCTCCGGTAAATGGAATTTTTTTTAAAAGCTTTAATCCATCATTAGCGAGTGGGACTCACTTCTCTTTTACTCAAGGATTAATCTATACTAACCAGAATTCAAACTGCTTTCCTTAACGGTGTCTAACTTTAATTACAAGACTGAACAATACTGAACGTTACCATCGGCCGATTTACAACCAATTCCTAGAAGTAGCTGTTGCTTTAAATTTTCAGCATTGTAACCTACATTCGCCTCTTTGTTCACCTGAAGCATCGCCGTTGTATGTTTTATGTTGCGTAATGGGTTTTGGAGCGAATTTCGGTGAATTTCATCGAACTGGGCAAATTTCAAAACAAACGCCACCAGTGGTAGAATTACGCATTGTCTCACAGTTAGAGCGTTTCTGCCAACCTTGTTTTGGCCGTCGGAGAGAGGCGCCTATTCATTCCTTCATTCATTCATCAACGCTTCAACTAAAAATTATATTATCTTTTTCTTTTATTCGTCTTATTCTTAGATCTCTTTGTATCTCTGTCATGTACTCCCACTTGACGCCTTTTTGCGTAAACTAATTGCCACAACTGGCTCAACAGTGCATACACTGTTAAGAATTAATGCTCGAGGTTCTGTTAGTCGCATGAAAAATCCTGATCGCTGCTTCCAAAGGGCATAAGGGAAAGAGATCGTTATTTTTAATATAAACCTTTTAATGTAAAGGTGGACGACAGCTTGGCAGAAAAGTTTGGATTACCAATAACGTGACATGACCAAGAAATTAGTTTTCAATATGTTAATTTGCATTCAGAATATGTTTTCGTCTCTCTTTAGCGATCCAACTGTGTCTTGTTTCTCTTTTAAGGATATTAAAGTCTAAAAAAATTGATCTGTTTTATCACAACCTATCATTTCAAAAAAACGCATGGCAGATTGTCCAGTGATTTAACAATACGAATTGAGAGGAAGCGGAAAGCGTTATCTAAAGATTTGCCGAGGGTAGTGAGTCAGGAATAACAAGATTGTAACAAATTTTAAAAGCATCTTTCGAAGTCAGTATCTTTGACCGAACCAAAGATGGAAGAAAAGGTGTTCATTTTCTCAGATCTTCTGCCGACATCAGTGTTTGCGCCAAACGCGTATTTATTCAAGTGGACTGACGTAATACCTGTCATTTTTCTGTCAGGTCCTAGTCATTTTAACGTTTATTAAGGGTTTCACGACACGTATTTTGAATGAGCTCATCAGACCAAAATAAATATGGATCTGTTTTCCAAACCCTGGCCTCGACTAAAGCGAATCTTATGCTTGAATTTGGTTTGTTTTCTAATGGTTTGGTACTGTTTCCTAACACTAACAACGATGACAAAAAGATTAGTTTGATAACTGGTGCCATGTAGACATCACCTCAGGGTCTGCTTTAAAAAAAAAAAAAAAGAAAAGAAAAGAAAGAAAGAAGAAAAGCTGCCTAGCAGCTGATTTTTGAGAAAGATCTTTCCCGAAATGAGAACCAATTTTTATGTCATCCAGCCATTTCCGTTGAAAATTTCGATTTTAATTTGCATGTATCTGTGAAGGATCAAAGAGGTTTTGTTTAACAGTAACAAATACTGAAATCTTGCTCAGCCAACAACTTTGCGGGAAGTTTTTTAAAATTTAGAAATGCCTTCTAAACCCTGTGAAGGCAGCTTGATGGAAACATCTCAAAAGTAGCAAAACCTACGGAACAAAACTACTTATTTGTAATTATAACCAAAAGAAACCAGTGTAAACATCGTTTGTATAGCTGATATCTAAATCGCTTTTTGTTTTTGCGGGCAAATCATTTAATTGCTCTCTTCGCTAAGAAAGTTTTGATAATGTAGAATAAACCGGAATGAAATCTACTGCGACAAACCACCCTCAGGGTACAACTCAGGTCTTCCGTCTGATCGTCACCACCATAAAAACATGAGTCCGAACTTTAGTCAGAATCGAAAAAAAAATTTATCACACGTTTAATGTTAACAACGGATGTCATATCTTCTGACATGAAAGTTTGAAAACTTTAGCTGAAGGCATTTATATCGATTATACTGGATTACACACATACTTCCTCGCAGGGGTAGGTAAGTCGTCAAAAACAGGATCATGTATAATTGTTGTTAAGAGTCACAAGGCAAAGTGTTTGGTTATTAAATCAACCCCTTTGTTTATTAAAATTGCATTTTAAACCCCAGCAAAACATCTATGGGTTAATCAACCGCTCAATACGCTTGGAAACTTGTAACTGGCACGCCTTTCTCAAGTCGAAATTAATTCATCAGCATAATTTTTATCATGATAATTACCAATATCCGCAGGATATGTTATTGTCCTTAACCAATTTCCAGAATATTTCTGAAGGTCTCTTCGACATCACTTCCTGAGAAAACGATGTCAGCGGGCAGGTGTTTTTCCAAAAAAATTTTACAATCTAGAGTTATCGCACTAAATGCCTTATAAGCCAAGATGTGTAAATGAATTATACATACGTACCCCTTATAGCTTCTCATTAAGGTCGCGTGCACGGAGTAAAAACTTAATCAAGAGACGTAATTTTGTTTTTCTTTTTCCTTTCAAAGGAGAGAGGCAAAAAGCAAAAACAAATCTCTGGCATAACGAAATTGCAGTCTTCTCTATACATATTGAATTTCGATTTTACAAAATTTACCTGCAAAAAAGATTATCTTTTGTTTGAAATTTGAAACAAGTTTAGTTCTTCCTGTTTTAAATATCGCGATTTTAAAAAAAATTGTTCGCAGTTTACTTGCCTTGTAAATTTGGCAAAAAAAATCACGTCACATTGCTTTCATCAATTTATTATTTTCCCTTTACACTGCAATAGTCCAAAAACAGGAAGTTTTAAGCGGTTTATTTTTGTCAGAAAGCTTTAATCTTTGTCTGAGCTTCTAAACGATGTTTTTGTTTGAGCCTATCTGATCTTATGTATCCACGTGTATTCCAAGTTGTGGATAATGTAGAGCGTTTTTTTCATGGATTATATTTTGAGTATGGGTAATCACTTGATTTCGAGTGAAATTTGGAATAAATAAGTACGAATAAATTTTTTCAAGGACTAAAAAAAAAAAAGCAATTGGAAGCTACTATTGGCTGAAATTGGCTGAAAGCAATTTGAAGCTATTTAGAATGGGGCACAATTACAATTGAAATTCGTGATATCTGCCTGAAAAATAAAACCACCACCTGTTAGAAGACAAATAAGAGATGGAAAATATAACTAATAACGAAACTTTATTCATGACTCGAAAACAGCCTCCGTCAGAATGAATCCTCGTTGGTCGTAATAACAGTTTCAGCTGTTGCTTTGTCGATTCGAGTATGATAAGTGTCTATAGACGAAGAAACACTGTTCCAAAGCCCATTTCAACATCTGACAGCTCTCTTAGAACAGTGACATTTGACTGAATGTGCGAGAAAAGCGTTCGGTTGGGTTTTTGCATCGGCCTTGTCTTTTTTCGTGTGGCCTAAGGAACACGTGGCACCCTTTCAACCAATCAAATAAAAACACAACCCAACTAGGACCCAGGTGTTTTTCTGCGATTTAAACAGCTGATTTTCTTGAATTTGAGTTTTCACTGGCTTCTGTATTTCCCAGTTAACCCTTTTAACTCCCATAATCAGTAGTGATTAACATGTAACTTCTCCCCATAAAATCCATACATTATCCAGCAAACTCGTAATGAGAATACTCAAACTTATCAGATTGAAGCTATCTTTATCTAACACCAAATTCTTGTAACTAATGTACAAAGAAATGTTTGGCAGCTAGTGGAGAGAATTAACAATCAGATCTTGGGAGTGAAAGAGTTAATGATATCTTTTTCATCGTTTTAGGCTGGTACTTGGGATGTTACAAAGAAAATATTGCAAACCGCGCAATCAACATTTCGGCCGGAAACTACATCGTGTCGGACACTTCCGCTCAAGAGTGTACCTCCTCTTGCGCATTTTTAAACCAGTCATATGCGGCCACTGAAGGGAACCTGTGTTTTTGTAGCAACGGTAATTATGACGTGTATGGCAAAGCCACTAATGACAGCCAGTGTGACGTCACATGTTCAGCCCAATCATGCGATAGTACGTCATACGTGCGAGTGTATTCAACCCGAGGCGCAATTGGTGAACTCAAACTTCACGGTCCAAAGGTTGGATGGATGTTTCGTGAAGTCAGTTTTTCGACCGTTCTTGGAAAAGGTAATGGAAAAGAACGAGCTCTCTCTCACTTTATCGCAGGTTTTCAATCTCACTGATTTCATTTAACATAGCTGTCGATACAGTCAAACCTGTATTAGGAAGTCACCCACGAGGAATGGCGGGGTGAGACCGCTTAATACAGCTTCTACAGAATAGGGGTATTTTAAAACCGATAAAAATCGCCACTTTACGCCTTAATGGACCACTTAGTATCCAAAAACTCGCTCAAAATATTGCTAAGATTTCGGGAGATAAAAATGGATTAATCTTTTACTTGAAAGATTATTCCTAGTTTTATGAGTGGTTCGCTTTACGTGACCGTTTAAAACAGCTGGAGGACAATACAAACCGCTTTCTAGAGGTGACCGCTAAATAAAGGTAAAAATTACAGTTATTAAGTCGTCACAATTTCGGGACTTTGAAAACCGACCGCTTAATACGGTGCCGCTCTATAAAGGTTCGAATGTAGTTACTTTTGCTGCTCCTTTTTGTAACTTTTGTTTAGGGTTGACACGAACTTCCCCTCTACTACCTGAGAAGAGATAGTGATCTGTGGCGAAATTAAATAACAGATGCAAAGAACATGATTTACAAATTTCTTGTGGGGTTGTATCACACTTAGTTACAGCGTTCTTTTCGAATACTGTAACATCACAAGCATGCCGGATTCGATATAGTTTCTAAGTATACCCACTCGTGATCTTTCCTTCTCAAAAGTAACGTAGTCTATACACGTTCCTTGAAAGTTTCCAGGTTTTAGATTGAAAGTTTTTTTTGTACGTAATTTTAGGTGATCTCAACAATCTGTCCTACACTTTCGATTTTGGTGACGGCTCCTACGTGTTGACCACGTGTCCTAATGCCACACACGTGTACACGCGCGTGGGTGAGTTCCACGTGAAGGCGTCTGCGAGGTCAAACGAGTCAGGCCCGATACTGGCGTCCACGTGGGTGTTAATTCAAAATCCAACGGGTAAACTAACTTTAGACTACCCCAAAGAGATTCTTGAGGTGGGAAACGAGACTGAGATTGTCTTGAGTGTCAGCCAAGGCACGTGGATGACAGCTCTATTGCATACAACACACCAGGAAGATGGGAAGAATAGAAAGTCATTGAACGTATCGGGTGAGTGAGAGGACGTGTTGTTTGTCGGGGGGGAGATGTGAGGGGGCTAGAGTCAGTTTACAAGGTATGAGGCCGCTAATGTCGCAGATTTTCGTTTCAGGAGCTTGAGGCGAATAGAAAAATTGACAACCTCCCCCCTACCCCTACCCCTACCCCTACCCCTACCCCTACCCTTGTGGTTAGGCCATCGCGCAGGGGGAGGGTGAGGGGGTTAATGTCAGCTTACAAGGTATGAGGCCGCTAATGGCGCAGATTTTCGTTTCAGGAGTTTGTGGAGAATAGGAAAATTGCCAACCTCCCCTTACCCCTACCCCTACCCCTACCCCTACCCCTACCCCAACCCTTGTGGTTGGTATGTTAGGCCATCGCGCGGGGGGAGGGTAAGGGGGGGCTTTCGTCAGTTTACAAGGTATGAGGCCAAACACCCCTACCCTTGTGGTTAGTATGCTAGGCCATTGTACAGTGATCCTTTAGACAGGGGCTCTTGGTTATTTCTTGTTTATTCATCATTGAATAGGATATTTTCTTTTACCTCAGACCCCATAATCCACGACATAGGTTCGTCTGCAACATTTGGAAATTCCAGCAACTCCCCCGAAACGGACGGCGCATACGTAATCCCATCTGCTATGCTGAAGAAAGACGGTTTTGTACTAGCCTGGGAATTCTTCGCCTCTAAACTGGGATCCATTCAGTTACAGGTCAGTGGTTCTTACACTGCTCTGTGTAATACATTCGAAAACCGCTGACCACTGATTAAAAATTCGCCACTTATTTTTCTTAGAATGGAGAATTTAAAATTGCCGTCTTATGGGCAAGGAAAACGCCAAAGAAGCAGTTATAAAACCAAAGAGAAATCAGAATGGTTCAAGATGGAAAAGATGAAAACGGATTGTAGACGTCAAATCTGAAAGAATTTGTCAATATTTTTCAGGATAAGCCAAATGAGACTTTGCCCTTTTAGAGTGATAGGCGAAACGGCCTTGTCGCAAGCTCAGGGGAAGACGGGATAGGGAGGAATACTTAATAAAGCCCTCTCAGAGAGTATTATTTGCTTGCGTTTCGACTCCTGGGGGCATAACATGTTGAAATTTGTAGTCCTCGAAAGCGACTTGTGCGAGTTGCGCGACTTATCAGACTCTGAATGCATTCCGTAGCTTTTAAACAATTATTTTTCTAATGTGACACTTGTTTTTAGGTTTACCGTCCCAACTGTTCCTCGCTCGACAGCTATTTCTGCCCGAGAAATTATTCCTGTATACCCAAGGCAGACTCCTGTGTCGACTCCAGTCTGTTCAGTTGTCCTGGGAACAAGAGCATCTGCGTAGGAACTGGTCACTGTTTGTCTACTTGTCAAGGACCGAACAAATCATTTCTGGCCATTTCGTCTCCTGTGACCGACTACGTCGTCGTAGCAGGTAGACTTTTGAGTGTGTTACCTTGCGTGACTGAATTAAAGCGCTTGCTTCGAGCTTTGCGTGACAGTAAAAAATGGCGTAGGGATTCAGGATTGAGCGTGACGGGTTAAATAAATATTGGACATTACGTGAATAATATGAAAGAGGAGTTTTTTAATACCCTATTTATACCTTTTACCTATAGATTAAACAGTATTAAAGCGCAACGTCTTTCGTATAATACTGACCAACCAAGAGGACAAACAAAATCTGACGAGCGTTTTCGTTTGTTCTTTCTTTTTCTCAATTGCAGAAACTGTGGTGAACATCACAAAACTCGGCAACAATCTTTTCCCTCTTGCTTCCCAGAAAGCCATCGAAGTGAAAGCTGGTGACGTCATAGGATGGGTTGGAAACGGCTCTTCTGGGACGCTGGCCTTTGAGAAAACTATTAATGACCCATCGTTCTATTTTCCCAGTTCATCGTCCAGTTTTGCAGTAGGAAGCGATTTGACAAAAGGTAGCGCCACTCGGCACGAAATCAAACATGTTCTGCGGGCTCATGTTTCTCAGCCCTCACAAGCAGCGGTTGTTGTGGAATATACCCAAGCAGGAGTTTACAATGTGTCGGTTTCTGTGGGAAATGTGGCTGAAAGTGAACTGAGGAGTTGCAAAATTACCGTGCAGGTGCTGTGTTATATGTTAATGATTGACATGATTGCAGTGACTACTGATTTTAACTGAAGGGTCAAAACTCACAATAACCTCAGAAAAGGCTCAAGGCACTGAATTTTCAGCAAGGGTGTCACGCGCGGCATCAGGTGTTGGGGGAGTTTCTCTTTTATCGCACATGGGGCGTCACGCGCGCCATTGCTTTTTGGCTACTCTTGCTAGTCGCGAGCGGAAGTCTGTCACCTAGGAATTTTGCGCCGTTAATTCTACGTCTTCTAAATCTCATTGGACGTTGAAATGTTGATAAAAGGTTTTAACAGATAGTTATGATGCTTTTCTAGGAGCGCATCGAAAGTCTCCGCATTGTAGAGCCCTTGACGAACATAAGTTATCCCAAAGGAGAACAAATTATCCTGACGAGCGCTGTGGACAAAGGAAGTGACATAAACTATACGTGGACCACAGACGGGGCAACGTACAACGTAAAAAACCCTAAAGTATTTTACAACAATACTGGTAAGGCTACAAATGCATTCGACTTCTTTACGGAGGCCAATTTACATTATCAACTCAGTTTATCAAACTTTATTACACCCATTTTGAAATCACTTATGGTCCCTGTAATCTGATTGGCTCTAATTGGTGCGATTTATTCACAAATTGCACCATTTTTTGCTTTAAATCACATCTTTTCCCCAGCCAGTGAGGAGGCTACACTAAAAACAAAACAACCAATCAGACTTCAAGGCTTGTTTAAAGTAACCGATCATATTGCAGGAAGATGAAAGACATGGAGTATCATATGGCAAATTTTGCAACTTTTGTTTCCAAAACTCTTATTTTTTCCTCCCAAAAAATGGATGAATTTAATTTCAAACCAGCTCAGTATTGTATTAATAAAATATTTGAACTGACTAAGTCCTGTATTTGGGCGATTTCAAAACGGATGTAATAAAGTGGTAATTGAACCTCGTGTTGTGCAATTTTGGTCTGAAATTGTGATTTCAAATCGAACTCGCGCTGCGCGCTCGTTCAATTTTGGAATCACGCGTATGATTTCAGCCCAAATTGCACTCCACTCAGTTCAATTACCATTATCAATTACCATTATAAATTACCTCGTAATTCCTCCCCCGCCCCCCCTCTCGCACCAACGCAGCACCACAGTTTCCTTTGAAACTTACCCCCTCATTCATTTACAGGAACCCACCCAGATGATTGACAATGTGACTTTTACAGTACAGACTCAGTCCTTTCTGCAATAATGGAGAATTTCTGTAAAATCTACTTTACCCAGTCACTGATTTTCATGCTATTTCTACTTTGCAGGTTTTTACCCAGTCTTGCTCTACGTCCACAATGCAATCAGTTCTGCAAACGCTTCTTCAGTAGTTAGGATACTCGAACCAGCGTCAGTAGCTTGGAGGGAGAAACCGCCGACCAAGATTGACGTTGGCGCACAATTCAACTTTTCTGTGGTCCTGAATGGAACAAACGTCACTTTGACTGTAGAATTTGAAGACGGCTCTAATTATGAAAAGTTTTATACTTCTGCCCTGAATACTGTTGTGAACATTACGCACAAGTAAGTCCAAACTTGGAAGGTAACGTTGCAGGTAGTTTCTGTTAATCATCTAAAACTGAAGGAAGCCAGCTCGTTGTGAGTAGGTGCTGGATGGACTCTTACGCGCGTTGTCAATACTAGAAGGATTGAAAATTGTTTTGAGCCATCACTGCCATTATTCAGTACTCAAAAATCCCGCGCATTACTGGTTGGCCTTTTTAAGGGATAGGACTAGTTTATTTAGAACCAATTTTTTTTGTTATTCTTGAACAGGACCGTACGAAGTGCCAGTTCTAAAAAATGTAAAGCTTTTTCGTAGACTTTCTAAAATATGTTTTGTTTGAAAAGAAGGATTTTGACCAATCACGAGTAAGTGACTTGGATCCCATTCCAAGCGTCTGGCAGCAAAGTCTGATTTTTTGTCCCAAATGAGGTAAACTTGAGGAAAAGACTGGAATTTCGAAAAATGATTGGAACGCAGGAAAAGGCAACCTTCGGAATAAGTCAAGCCGTAGTTTGCTGTGCAAATAGTGGCGGAAATTCTAATTTTTGAATCAGCGCACTAGCATGTCTGAAATGTAAGCCGTCTTCTCATGATCAGCACACGTAAAGGGAGGGAAACCCAACTGGAGAATTTCTCACGTAAAAGGGTTAGAAGGCCAAACTCACTTTTGTTTGCAGGAGAAATGTCAAACACTTGAGTTTAGACGGCTTGGAATTGATCTTCAAGCAATCTCGTGTACAAACTATGGGTTAAGATTCTTGTATTTATAATAAATTTACGTACATATTTGGTAATAAATCTTAGCAAGTGCAAAATAAAATAGACGCACAATATTTTTGTTGCGTGGATGATCTTGCCCTCTATCTGCAGACTTTTGCAGTTACTGACTACTACTTTTCATTGTTCCACTTTTTCTCCTTCAGTTATACCAGACGTGGAGAATACGAAATTTCAATCGAAGCCCGGAACAACATATCGTCTTCCGCAGCGCTTTTAAATTTCTCACTGAAGGTTGTAAGCGATCTTGGAGACATCTCAATACGGCTGTACCCGGCAGCAAATGCCGACAAAGTTCTTCATGTTTCTACCGGACAAGTTTTTGAAATTGAGGTCTCCGTACCAAATGAGCAAGAGGTGAACTACATATTTACATATGGCGAGTCGGCTTCTAAATCTGTTCGTACCGAGAAGGGTTACACAAAATGGTCCCACAAATACGACACCCCGACTGACTTTAACATCTCCATAAATGCAAGTGTCAGAGGATATTCTCAGAGGGAATTTGTGCATGTCATAGCCAAGCTCTGTGGTGGACCAGCCATATATTTTCCCAACGAGTATACAGAAGAAGATCCACAAATTGTTACCCGAGGCACTACCATCGACTTTTTAAAAGTTAATGTGGAAAAGAAGAAGGAATGTTCGAAGGGTGAGCCTGTTTATTCATGGGACATTACTCCATCACAAGCCATTTCTGAGGCTGAAAAGAAGAAAGAATCTTTCGTGTTTGAAGCCAGAAGCCTAGACACTGGAAACTATACTATCACATTGAACGTAAGCTACAATGGTGAAAAATATCCGTTCAAAACATTCATTCGGGTGGTGAGCTCACCGCTTGTAGCATATCTATCCGGCGGCAGCTTTCGACAAGTAGATTCGAATTTAACTCAGCTGACATTGAATGCCTCTCAGTCTTTCGACCCGGATGATAAAGATACCAAGTTAAATTTCAAATGGCAGTGTAAAGTCGAGAATAACTCTTCACCAGCAGTTCCAGATGAACTTTGCAATTCAACAGAGTTCGTGGACGTAATTGACCAAGAAAGTAACGAAACCATAAAATTACGTACAAACAAGTTTCGGACGAATGTGAAATACACTTTCCAGGTGAACGTAACCGAGAAAGCAAGTTCACGTTCATCCTCTGCACAACAAATAGTGATGCTGGAGCCCAATATCCCACAACTGGAAATAAGGTTAGTTGGTTCTTTCCAGTTGAATTCGATCCTAATATCTCTGCCTCAGCAAAATCAAGTTCGAATCCTTTCCGTGACGATTGAAGAAGCTTGCTGTTTTGTATAATAGCAAGTCATTTTCATGGTCAATATTAAACTTGGACTGGCGAAACATTTTGGGAAAATGAATTCAGAAGCATTGCAGAAATATTGTGATGTTGTACTGTTTTTCGCTATATTTGTAATTATTTAGTCGTGGAACTGAAATTCGAAATCGCTCACGACTTTTTTGTGCCATTTGAAATCGCGCCTAAAATCCCGTTAATACTGGCGCTAAGATCGTACGAAAATCGCCCGCATGTAAGAGGGGGATTTAACCCTGTATTTCTCAGTCGCGATGATGAATCTGCTACCCAAGGAAATGAAAGCATTTTGAGACACCAAAGAGCTCGAGGGATTGATGGCGAATAGCGCGCACTTGTAACTCAAGAGAAATGACTGTGTATCATCTGGCGAGGTTCTAATAGAACATCGTATTAAGGGGGTAAGTTTCTAAAGAAACTATGGTGCTGCGTCGGTGGGAGAGTATAGCAGGTAATTTAGTGTTAACAACTGTGCTGAAAACGTAAATTGGCCACCGGAAAGAGTAAAAAAGCTGACGTTTCGAGCGTTAGCCCTTCGTCAGAGCGATAGACGAAGGGCTAACGCACGAAACGTCAGCTTTTTTACTCTCTACGGTAGCCAATTTACGTTTTCAACTCAGTTGTTAACACTAAATTACTTGTGAACATCATATTACACTGCTCCTTTTCAGCTGCCGCGATTGTCAAGAAAAGCTAAACCCTTCCGAACGTATCACCCTTGTGGGAAAATGCACAAACTGCAATAGCTACGAGCGACTTGATAAAACAACTTGGAAATTACTGTACAAAGATCGTAGTGAACATGAACTATCAGGAAACAACAATGTAACAGACTCTGGTCTGGGATGGAATAACATTAACCTGGTTTTGAAGGAAGGTTCTTTGGAAGAAAACACAGAATACATTGCACAGCTTAACGGCAGCCGCGCTGAAAAAAGCGCTCTCGCAGAGTATACCTTTCAGACAACTTCCCAACCCGGCGGAGGATCTGCGAAGTGCAAAGTTTTGTGAGTACTTGACAAGATTACAAGTGTTAAAAATTAAAGCTGTTGTTGTAATTATTGTTGTATTTTTGGTACAACGCTTTTCAGTACCACTACCGTTATCGTTACCGTGAGCGCTCCCGTTATCGTTGTCGTTATGGTTTTCGTTGTCGTTATGGTTTTCGTTCTCGTCGTCGTCGTCTTCGTCGTTGTCGTTATAATTGTCGTTGTCGTTATCTTTATCGTTATCATTGTCGTCGTCGTCGTTGTCTTCGTGGTCGCTGTCGTTGCCGTCTTCGTCGTCGTCGTTATCTTCGTCATCGTCTTCGTGGTCGCTGTCGTTGCCGTCTTCGTCGTAGTCGTTATTGCCGTCGTTGTCTTTGCGGTTATCGTTGTCGTTGTCGTTATCCTTATCCTCATCGTTATCGTTACTGTCGTCGTCTTTGTCTTTAATGTTTCCATTTTCGTAGTCAGTATCGTTTTGTTTATCGTAATGATTATAGTTATTGTCATCATTAAAGCTATCGTCGTCGTTATAGTTGTCGTAATCGCCGCCGCTGCCACTTCTATTGCTTTATTATCATTATTCCAATATTATGCCATTTTCTCAGATTAGATCAAGAGATTGCTTTTAATACGAGGGTAGAATGCACAAGGGTTGTAAAGGATGTGTTTAGAAAACTTCGGGGAAAAAAAGTAGAATTAACTTGTGTATTTGAAATTTTCACTTCAGTCCACAAGAGGGTTTTGCGGCGGAAACCCCGTTCAGGATCAAGTGTGAAAACTGGGTAACCATAGACAACCCAATCTCGTACGAGTTTCGTTACAAAACCAAGATAGACAACTTAGCTCAGATTAATTCAATATCGTCGGAGTCACAGGCAAATCAGGTTTGGTACTTTGGGGAGAGATCTACTCCACGGAGTGTGTTACCTATCGGAGATCCAAAGAATGGTTTCCAACTCCAGCTATCTGCACGTATTTGCAACAAGTATCAATGTTGTGCCATTCGTTCACTAAACGCCACGGTGAGTTGAAATTCAAATTAAAATCTTTAGTGATAACATTTAAGGGCTACTCAAAGACTACAATGAAGCGTGCCCGTGGATCAGTATATCCTTTAGGCACCACGTCACGGTTTTGGGGTTTTCTTAACCTCAGACTAATTTTTTGAAGTTCGCCATTTGCACTTCATATTCTCCATAATTTTCCATCCTCGTTCTTTTCCAGTTTATCACTATCTGTTTCCCTATTTTGGTGTCCCAGCGGCGATATCGATTATTCGTAATCTCTTTCAGGTTGAAAGTGGTTTGAATAGCCCAAAAAATGACCTGAAATGTAAAAACGTAGATCCCGTAGAATTGTCAGAGGAGGAACAAAAAGTCTGTTTTAGTCACAAGTTCTTGAATTATGGGTTGATTTGCACTTCAAATCAAGCCTGAAAAGTAGATCTTCAATAGGAGTGAACCTATGACCTCGCGAACATGCAAATTAAATCGCCTAAAAACTTTTTAGTTGAACTGATTTTTCTTGTAGGTGAAAGAACCGACGGGACAAATAGATAAAGTTATTCAACAACTGGAGGAAGTGGATGCCAAGAAAGACCCCAAAAAGGTCGTCCAGGTGGTGAACTCTCTGATATCCATCATAGATCAAGGCAACAAGTCGGAAACTACAAATAAAGGACAGCAAACTAAGGTATTTAACGCGTTATGAGGGTATCTCAATTTAGTTTTTTTTCCCAATACCAAAGTTATCACAACAGCCAATCAGAAATGACTGTGAATATATTAAAATCACATATGTGTACTGCGGATCAAGAAATTGATATTAAATCGATCTTGGCAGTAATGGACACTACTTGGGCAGTGGTGAAAATGAGGCTTGAAAAAAATTTCAGGCCTGTACGGGATTTGAACCCACGACCTCTGCGATATCCGTGTAACGCTCTACCAACTAAGCTATTTCTTTATGTAAGTTCGTAATAAACCCGTGATGTAATGAAGAAATGACTGTGAATACATGAAAACATAGTCATGTGAAACGACTGCAGTTTCCACAGTGATGCCTTGAATATTCAGTTGTTCCTTCCTTTCAGGAAAAATCAAAGCTGGTCACTAAACTTTCGGAAATCGACATAACGGATACATCACTGGCTCAACAGACCATTGGTGCTTTGATAAAAGTCACCAAAGACAAAACGGAAGTGACGTCAAATACTCAAGTAAGTACAATCGTCTAGCACCAGTCTAATAAATAAACTAATTCGTTTATTTATTCAATCATTCAATCGTTCATCCACTTTTTAATTCATTCTTTCAGTCATTCTCTCAATCATTCTTTGATTTATTCACTCATATGTGCGTTCGTTTACTTTATCAACCCACTCATGCGCACAATATATTGCTATTGCATATTTTGCTTTTAAAGTTATAACGCTCAAGAGGAAAAACTGAAAGATTGAAAGATAAGAATATCTATGCCGTTTGTTCTTCTTTCGGTTAAAAAAAAATAAGAAAACCACCATTTCATTCCCTTTACTGGGTCTTGGATAACAGACCATTTCGTTTCGTCAATGAGAAGGCAATGCAATACCAGAGAAATAGCTATAAGACCCCCTTCTCACTGCGATATTGTCCTGGTTGCGCTTATGTTTATGATTGTGATGTGCTCACCCTCACAAGGATTTACGTGCTTTTGCCTATGCTAAGATGAAAATGCAGACCCAACATTTTACCAGTTGTATTATTGTCATTTTTTTTTTATTAGAACCAAGCAGCAGGAATTGCAAAAGGAGCAGCCTCTGTCTTAAAGGAATCTGCCAAAAATCTGGGCGCAGTGAAGGTTGAAGAAATAGCACGAGAGATTTACACGGCGTCCTCAAACACGTTAGAAGCCAGCAAAGAAACTACAGCTGATTACACTGCTCAGCGTAAGGAATATCGTTTGTGATAATAACTGAAAAAAGTACTCAAAAACCAAAGCAAACTGAAGAAGACAAAAACAGCTATTGAACCTCTGCGTGCGAGAGAAATTCCTTCTACCATTAATATGATCTTTGTATCTTTCCATAAGGTAACTGGATCAATGTTAGTATCTGAGCAACTACGCACCTACCCCTCCCCGAGTCCAAATTTAACCCTAACTTGTTATCAGTTGAGTGTTGTTTGGGGAGGTGTGCAGTTCATCAGATATTTATATTGATTCGGTTCATTGATTGACCCTTTTACGCTTTTTCGCTTTACGTGAGGCAGACCGGTTCATGAGAACTGAAAAAAATCCATGAATAAAACTAACCAAGGAGTATCATTTAACTGAGAAAGGCGCTCTCTCATGGCTTGATAGGTGTGTTTGGGTGAGGGTTAGTGTAAACACAGTTCTGACGTTTTGCATTCGCAGTTATATAAAGCACTGTAGGACTTTTTCCTTTATGTTATGTCAGTTAGAGACTAATCATTAACTCTCGCCTGAGGGGAGGGGGGAGGGCAGGATTTTGGTTATCTCATCTCAGGCCTATATAAGTACAGTAATTCTCTCAACTACCCGTCACTTGTCTTTTGGTGAGGCTTTGAAAACACAGAAGAAATCTTCTATTGGTCAATTAGTCATCAGTTGGGCGAACAAGCTCACAGACCTTTGGTTAAAGGGTTTATCGTACTATTGAGCACACTTTAAAACACAATTCAAGCGCCCTCAGAGTGTAATTGCCAAGCAACTAAATCACTGAAATCTCTCGTTGCTCAGTTCTCAAGGATATCTTCCCAACTACTGCTCCTCCATCACGTGACTGGTCGGTTAGAATTAGTTCTCTCAGAAATCAAGAGGTATGTTCATCTTTAATTTTAGCTTTAGTTTATTAAATCGAATAAAAAAGATTGATAAGAATTTGAACCCATAGTAAATCGATGAACATGATATAAAAAAGGGTTTTTGGGCTTCGTGTGGTACCAAACTTATATTCAGGTCTGTTTGGTTTCGGCGCTTTGTATCCAACTGGTTCAGCATGGAAATTACATACCAAATAGTGGTAACAAAAAAAACTAAAGGATTTTTCCATCCTAAGAGTTAGTGCCAACGCACTTTACGATTGTTATTTGGGGATTGTCGATTCATTTATTTTCATTCATTAATGAAGTCGGCTTTCTTGCCAGTAAAGGGCTATTGTGTTTTTATGATAAACAAAGTAATACATGGTTGCGTATAGACATGGAATTCCTCTTCGAGTGTTCAACTCGATAGCTCACGAGTAAGCGCGCTCGCTCGTGAGCTATCGAGTTGAACACTCGAAGAGAAATTCCATGTCTACACGCGCCCATGTATCATTCTCTATTTATTTTCCGCTCCTCCCATTTGCTGACTTTCGCCTTGCAAAGTAGCATGGAAAAAGAAAACGAGGTCGCTAGTTAGGCAAGCATTGCCCTCCAATCTTGTTAAAGCCTCTGCCTTAGATGACCAATGGTGCAGCGGCAAATCCATCTGACAAAGAAGCGCCTGCATAGTCTCAACTGCCATTTCGACCCGTTGTCTTGAGAGAGAGCTGGTGCGCCGGAAATCAAATAGTGTCCAAGTAACTCCACGTACGCGCTGTTGCTTCCTCTTTAAATTAATCATTTCACGTTGCATTTTTTCAGGAAGCCGATAAATCGAAGGAAGTGGTGGATACGATCTTGTCGGCAATGGACCTGGTCAGCGGTGCAATTCTTAGAAAGAGAGTTCCCGAACAGGGAGAAACAGAAATTAAAACACATGCGTTCGATATTCGATTGAGGCGTTTGCGTAAACAATCATTTAACAATTCTGCATACAAGGTCGAGACGTCTAAGCAGCTGCTAGTTAGCCTTCCGAATCCCGATGTCGTCCTTAAAGATGCAAATGACAAAGACCCTGTTGACTTAGAGGTAGGTGAAATTTAAGCGATAAATGTCTGTTTTACTCTTTCATGGTACGTTTATACAAAAGGAGACAGATGATGAGAATTGAGAAAGTGACCAAATATAAAATTAAGATAAAAATTCCTGGAGTTTAAAGGATTATTTCAAGCTTCTTTCATCGTAAATTAAACTGATCGCTTTCTCCGTGAGAGGAGGAGTATGTGATAAATCACTCCATTTTGGCATTTACAATAAACCGCGTTCTCGAGTATTGAGTCTAATCACTTGTTAGAAAATCGCTCTGATACTGCGAAGGTCTGTTTCGCTTCTTTTAGACTGGGAGGGTGGTTCTATACAGTTATATATACTTAAATGAATTTGACTTCACCTTCGATCGTGTTGCGCCGAAAACTTTGATGATTGTGCGAGGCAATCTGAGGAGAACGAAAACGCAGGGTGTCGTGTCAACTACCCACTATAACCCCCTTCCCTTGTCAAGCTCTTTTTCTCTATGTTTATAACACTTCATAATGGTGTATTGAATGTGAAGAGGATGGATACGTTGCTCACAAGGTCCTCTCCTTTAACCTATTTTTTTAAAGATTATTGAAGTGTTTCCTTTCGTTTCAGTATACCTCAATGGAAAACATTTTCCGATCCGACGAAACGAGCTCACCGTATATTACTAAGATACAAGGTTTCGCCCTAAAGCAAGGAAAGCGAGAGATCAAAATACAAAATCTCACCGATGATCTTAAAGTCAACATACTCACCGATTTGAAAAGCGTGTCTAGCCGCTTCAGCGAACAGTTCTCAGCCAACACGGAAAAAAGTCATCGTTTCCAGTTTCCACCCGGTCAACCGTACACGCCACTGCTAGTTTACGTTAAATCGGACGACAACACAACCTTAACTGGCCTGCTTCATATCACTTTTGAAGGAAGAACGTCTAGCAAGTACAGGCTTCGATTCTCTCCCACGTTCCCTGATGAGGACGTCTCTGCAACTTTTCAGAAAGTCGACAACTTTACTTACATGGCCTGGGGACTACCTCAAAGACCTGTCTATTTCAACTTGACTGTCAAGGTACCTGGGCTGCTTGCAGAAGAAAAACCACGTGTTGTGAATTACACAGTGGCCATTTATCCTGTGCGATGTATGTATTGGGGTATGGAGGAAAAGAAATGGCTCGATGAGGGATGCAAGGTGAGGACAAATTTATCAAAGATTATTATATTCTACTTCTTAGGAATAGAGTACTTCGAGAAGCTAAGTTAAGTAGAGGGTGTGAACGGAGAGCACTGTGATAATCAATTAGAATCTATATTGGCGTGCTTCACTTCAGTTAAAGTCACATGGTTTCCAAATGTGGCAAGAACAAAAAAGTGGCAAACAAGGCGAAGCTAAGTTTGTCCCTGGTGTTCTTAGTTCATTTTGACGTCATCTGTGATCTGTCACTGAACAGGCACGCGGTAACATGGAATCTATTTGTTTTACATGATAAAAAAACGCTAAGTTTTGATAATGGTGAAGTCATCTATGCATCTGCATTCTAATAGATCGTAGGTTGTAAAAATGCAGGTGTAATTCAGCTTAGCATATATAATTGAGCAATAAATCCCACTTTTTATCAGATCGTTTTCTCGGCGTAAAAACTTGCACTGGATGTTGGGGAGAACACGAGAAAATTTTCTTTATCCCGAGTCAAAGATTAGTGCAGTCGATTCCGTTTTTAGCTAACGTAAGTACTGTTAAGTGATAATTTGTGACCTATTTTGGTCAGGTTGGTGAGGAGACTTCAATCGCTGCCACAAACTGCCTGTGTAACCACGCCACTTTTTTTGGTTCCCTGAACGTAAAACCTAACCCTATTGGTCCTCTGTCATACGCCAAACTTAAAGATGGGTATGCCATGCTGGTGTTTGTCAGCATCATCTTCGCGCTGTATTTCCTAGCCCTTATTTGGGCAAGAAGGAAAGACAGAGCTGATGTCGTTAGGGTAAGTGTTAATTTCTTTGAATATTTCCAGGGGGGGAACAAGCGATTAAAGAATGCAACAGTTTGTAGGGTGGGAAGGGGGTTGGCTTTAGTTAACAGCGATTTATTTGGAAAGAAAGGTCGTAAAAGGTCAGAAAGAGAGAATAAAGACCAAGTGAATTTGCATGATGATGATTTCTTTTGGTTCACGTTCTGCTGAATGTTCAATTTTATATTGATTAGATAGACCCCGTGTTTTGGAACTAAAGTTATCCATTTATTCCTTCGGCAATTAGAGACGTATTCAGAGAAATCCTGTAAATACGAACTTCTTCTAGGCCATAAACGTTCAGTTTTTTAATAGGACATATCGACGTTATCATATCGACGGGTTGGTTTTATGGTGAGGGTCTACTTTTCTTGGGTCCAGGCTTATTAAGGAAAGAATGGGCCGACCAAAAACATAGAAAGCTTGCCTTTTAATTCAGCCCCAAAAATTGAATATACGTATCCTTTTTTCATTTAGGTTGGTGTCTGTCCACTACGGGATAATGAGCCCTCAGACCCGTACCGTTACGAGGTGACTCTATGGACGGGCATGCGCCGTAATGCTGGCACTAAATCCAAAGTCAGCATTATACTGTACGGTGACGAACAGGACAGTGAGGCGCGCGCTTTGCATGATCCTGAGAGAAACCCTTTTCAACGTGGTAGCCAGGACTCGTTTCTTCTGACCACGCCCTTTGACTTAGGCTCCATTCATTACATCCGGGTGTGGCACGATAACGCAGCTGGCTCGTGGTTTCTGAGTCGAATTATGGTGATTGATCTACAAACAGAGGAGAGATTTTACTTCATCTGTAACAGGTGGCTGGCTGTGGATGAGGAAGATGGCCAGGTATGATGTGGTGGGGTGTATCTATGAAGTAAGGTTGTAAAGTGCATACGACACCCTCTTTCTTGAGGAGAGAGACAATTTAGGATGCTTCTAAATTCCACTGGATCTGGCTTCTCATAGCGCTCCGCAACTCTAGAACCTGCGCAAACCCCTTGCTGTTGAACGCCCCAAGAAGTTGATCTGATATCAGGGAAACTTACAACATTTTACGATGGAGGAAGAAACCAATTTGAAGAATACCGTTTGTGATCATATTTAAAGCGCATACCGATTGATTGTCCCTCAGCAATGTAGTTACAAGGAACCAAACAGCCTGTAGCCTGGTGCATGGAAATGCGAGTGACCAAGTCCACTTGGTTTTAGTCTTGGATCTTATTTGAGAGATTTTTATTTTTATTCTCTGGTTAGGTTGAACGTCTCGTTATGTTGGCCAGTAAAGCGGAGCTTACAGAGTTTGGTCATCTATTTGTTGCCAGAACGCGCCGTAACCTTAGCGACAGTCATCTGTGGTTCTCAGTCCTCGCCCGTCCAGCCGGCAGTCGATTCACGCGAGTACAGCGGTTGTCCTGTTGTCTGTGTCTTCTACTCATGTCAATGATGACCAGTGGTATGTACTACGGCCCACGAGGCGACCCCTCCAACACGCAGCAAATTGGCTCCATTGTTTTCACCTGGAATCAGGTGAGTTCCACATTCAAATCGTAACGTATTGTTTACTGTCCACAGGTACGCAATACGTGCAGAATATTAAAATAAATGAGGACTCGTTTGTTAACCAATTTTTAATTCAATCCGTACAGGTGCTGGTCGGGATCATTTCGAGTCTCATAGTCTTCCCAATTAACCTGATAGTGGTGCAGATCTTTCGCAATGTCCGACCTAAACCAAAAGTCAAGCCGAAAAAGCCACCTCCCACCCCTTGTCTGCCGAATCTTTCCTTTGATAAGGACAGCCTGGACAATTACAATAACCTGAAAGAATCGTCGGACGACTCTGCTAAGGGATCGAGAAACAGTCTAGATTTCTCACGAGAAAAGAACAACAAGACTCGGTTGTCAATTAATGATGTGCATACTGACGTGGACCGCACAAGTTTTACCGACAGCCCACTGCTGATTGATCGTAGGCTCAGTACCACATACGACATCGGTAAGGAAACACGTTGGCGTCTCACTAAAAATTTTCTTTTTTTTTATTTATAGAGGAGTTGAGGCAATCTTGACTGCAACAGTGCTTCGCGCTGCTTTTAGAAAATTTGGAGAAGAAAACAACTGTGATTTCTATTGTTGAGTGTGAACTACTACTATTACAGGATACTTATACAAATTGATACCATTCGTCACAAGGCTGAATTTTTATCTAGTCTCCTTCGCACCTGTATTCTGGGATGTCATGCGACGACATCCAAGGGGGAGCATAACGTGACATCCACATAAACGGCGGCGAGCCTAACAATTACATGAATTACAACGGTCCCATTCGTCTCCGGTTTTTTTCTTTTTTTCTTGCTATCTATCCTATTTTTTCACTTTTTAAAGAGTAGTCATTATTTATCACCTGGGGGCTTGGAGGATTTTCTTTTCTTTCCTTTGGGGGGGGGGGGTAGGCAAGGGGGTCGTATAGTTTTCAGGGGGAACAAAGGGGAGAGTAGTCGTCACCAACAGAGTGTAAAAGTGATCTGTTCCTAATATAATTTCATTGATTTCTTCCACTATCTTTCGCCACCGTTGTGAATCATTTTATAACCGGCGCCGACACTGCGTAAATTCAAAGGCATCGAGGGAATACTCAATGACATTTCCCTCTTTTTTTAGCTCCTACGTCCCGTGCACGCCGCTTACTGTTGTGGTTCAAGAAGAAAAACACGTTGCCTTTTTACTTCGTTTACGTGGCATGGTTTTTTGTCTTCATCTTCTCAGCTGGGTCAGCCGCTGTAATTGTATTTTACGGCATGGAGTTTAAAAACGAAAAGTCCTTGCAGTGGTTATTTTCGTCCTGTGTGTCTTTTGTTCAAGATGTGTTCATCACTCAACCCCTCAAGGTAAGCCTTTGACGCCTAGTTCATTTTCTCTTAGGGACCGGTAATTTATTTAATGCCGGGGGGGGAGGGGTCGGATGATTTTGGTTGTGTCACATTAACATTTGCCTTGATTTTCCTACAAGGTCTGTAAATGTTCTTATGATACACCCCATTGGCAGTTAACTGGCAGTCAAATGTTCCACAGTCCCCCCTTTTATACTCTGCTGGTGACGACTGATCCCCCATCGTTCTCCCTGAAAACCATGTGATCCACCCCAGAAGTCCTCCCCTCCCCCCCATCCCTCAGGTGACGAATAGTGACTGGTCCGTTATGGAGATGCAGCATAGCATTGTACGTCCATTAATGACTTTGCTGGTTCATTGTGGTTGTGAGAGGAAGGCCCCAATGAAAAGATAGAACACTCATCGAGCAAGTTACTGAACGAAATGGGAAGAACTGATGATATTAAACATGTATGGGGCTAATAAGAAAGAGTAGTACCATATCAGTAGGTTAAATTATGGAGGAAATTGGGGAACATGAAGAAAATGAGATTGAGATTGGATTCAAAACGTGAAAGGAGGGGTAGGTAAATGTCGATGGAAAAGCACATAAGGGTATCATAATCATAACGTATATTTCTTCGTGGAGAAAAAGGCTGCTCTTTCCTCCTCAGGTATAGCTGCCTCCGGGCAGTTTCTCAACTCACAATTCTTACGCTCTGTTCCGACTTTCGTTCTCGCTTACTCTTGCCTTCTAGTAAAGTGAGAACTATGAATGCTAAATTACAGTGTTCTCCTTAGAGGAAAGTGTTTTCTGCAGCATTTCCTTGACAGATTGGGCACCATAAGACAAATCTTCAAACATAAAAGGAACTCATTGATAGGAACTGAAATAAGGTTAAAGAAAATTGTCTTGAGGCGCGGGAAAACTGGTTTTTAGTTTTGCGTCTGATTCGTTGAGAGAGTGGCGTGACTTTTCTGGTTTTATCACAGAGCGTTGTAAAGATTTGAAAAAAACCGATGCAATGCAGTATTACTTGTGAAGTTTACTTATAAAATGCTCCCTTTTTTAATTTTTGTGTTGACACAGGTGCTCGGTTTGGCGGTATTCTTTGCTCTGGTCGTTAAAAAGCCAGACAAAGGTGAATTTCAGGTAACTGAAGAGGTGCTCAAACTCGCCGAGGATGAAGAATTTCTCGGCCAACAATCGGACCTCAACTCAGGAGGATCAAAGACAAAGAAAGCGAAGCTTTTCCCTCCAGACCAAGCAAGACTGATTGCTATGAGAGCAGCGAGAATGAAGGAACGAAAGATGTATTCTGTCATTCGCGAGGTCGCCACTTACTACATATTTCTCGCCCTGTTGCTAACGATCGCTTACACGCACAGAGACAAATCAGCTTACTTCCAGACGAAACACCTTTTCGATATTATGGGAGATAACTTTTCCAAAGTGAGTACCAAATGAAACCTCTGAATAATGTAATGTCGTTATTTATCATCGAGGGGTCAGAGGATCTTGGTAGTGTCACAATAAAATTCACCTGATCCCCCCCCTCCCTAGACTCTATAGTATTCTAATGATCCACCCTAATTGGCAGTCAAGTTTATTCTGTCCTACTTTTATACTCTGTCAGCGACGATAAGCCCCCCCCCCCCCCTCCCGCATTCTCCCTGAAAACCACGTAACCTCCTTCCCAAATCTTCCGACCTTAGCGATAAATAATGACTTTTCCCCTGGTGTTATATATATATATATACGTACATCCACCCTATTGAGTTATGCCTTTTATCCTTGCATCGCAGTCTGGCTGCTAAAATTTTACAAGATAATACTTTCTCTTCGACCACGGATTCGTCATCGCCAGTTGAAGAGAGGAAGCCTTTTTCTTTGTTAGCTTGTGGGCCTCGACTCCGAGTGACCCAGAGACCTCGCTAGTTTCACAGAGTATTTTAACTTTAAAAGATTCCTTTTTTGAAGGCCATTTTGTATCTATGAATGTTCCTGCTATCGTGTTCTACTAGTATATGTTTTAAATAACGTCATTCGAATTCTTGTTCACATCCACAGATAACAAATGAAAAAGAGTTTTGGAATTGGACTCAAAGTGAGCTCTTGACGAGCTTGTTCCCCAAGAAATGGTACAACGGCGAAGAACGAAAACCCGATGGGTTCATGGTGGATGGCTACAGTCAGATGGTGGGCGGGGCAAGGATGAGACTCCTCAGAGTAAAAAGAGGTTTGTTTGCTTGTTTGTTTATTTGTCTGTTTTATATGTCGGCAATTTTTCATTTACCAAGGCTCATCCAGCTTTTCTGTTGCAAGGATCGTCTGCGGGTATTACCGCTCCTGCAGGATGCATGTCAGGCCTGCAAGCATTTCGTCAGCTTTCCGTGGCATTTCGCTTGTATTTGTTATCTCTCCTCGAAAGAGAGAGGCACTGTGGTGGTACCTTATCTTGGCCAATGACATATTACCATAATCTGGCCAGTGTCGGGGCCCAGACCTCGGGATCAGGAATCCAGCGCGGTTACCAAAGATTTACTTGCTAACAGGCCCTTCCTTAGTGTCTCACAACAGGCCAAGTGACTTTCCCTTCCCCTACCTCACCCCTATACTAAGTCCATGCTGACCATGGAACTCATAACAACATATTTGATTCCCAGAATCCTGCCGGGTTCCAACCGAGTTGTATGGCATCACAAAAGAATGCTACGGAGAATATTTTGTGACCAAGAACGACAAGAATGATTACACAGAGGGATGGGAGAACATAACTACATACGACACTCCAGTGTCTTGGGATGACATGCCGTGGAGATATCAAAACAGCAGTCAGCTTGATGGATACCCCTTCTTGGGCACTCTGACCACTTACAGTGGAGGAGGGTACGTTCAAAGTTGTTCTAAAGCTAACTATCGTAAAATGTCGATCGCGAGAGATAAGCACGCGCTCGTATTGCCTAGCTGAAAAAAAAATATTAAGGCAGACTCTTCAAGACTTACGCTTAGATTTTGATTCATTTTGGCGCGAGAATTGTAATTTAAAAAAGGACTTTTAAACAAATAATCTGCAAGTGTAGACTTACGTCAAGGAAAGGATACTTAATCCTTTCAGCACCGAGATCTGATCGTTAATTCTCCCCTCTTGCAGCAACACATTTTACGAATTTTTATGGATTAAGATCACAAATTGTACCTTATAAGTTTGAGTATTCTTGTTACCTTTGTGCTGGGTAATTTACGTATATAATAGGGTTGGAAGTTAATGTTTGAAAATCACTTCTAAGATTTAAATGGTTAAATATGGTTAAGATAAATACTGTAAAATCATATGATGAACTTGAAAAATATCAGCTCTTTTTTGAGCCATGTGTGTTCCCACAGTGAAAAGAAGAACTCTCGTGGATTTCTTGTCTGGACACAGTTGTTTAGTTCTGTTTCTGCTCAAAGCCACATAATGTCTAAAGAAGATCCCGTCTACTCCCAAAGAGAATAAAAACTGCTTTTCACAATTTTGTTTTCTAACGGGTTAAAGACTTGCATGTGCATTCATGGACATACTAGTTAAAATGCTTTCCGTTCTTAATCGCACAGTCATTGTCTGGAGTTAAACCAAAGGCGAGTTTCTCTTTCTTCCAAATTTGACCATATTGTTGCACCATTGTGTTTTTTTAGTGTAATACATTCGTGTAAATTTTCTTTCCACAGGTACGTAATTGTTCTTGAACCTGGGTTGGAGAACTTCAGACGTGTCAGAGTCCTTGAGAAAAATATGTGGATCGAGCGGCGCACACGGGCTGTGCTGACTGAATTCACAATATACAATGCACAGAGTAACCTGTTTTCTATTGTTACTCTGGCGGCAGAATATCCCGCCACTGGCGCGGCTATTCCCTATGTTAGCATCCAGACTGCGCGCCTGTACGACTTCACCAAGACCATCATGTTCTTTGTATTAACGATCGAGGTCGTGTTTGTGTTGTTCACGTTGTTTTTCTTTTATCGTGAAGTGAAACATATTTACAAACTTGGAATCCAGGCTTACCTGAAAGAGTTTTGGAACTGTGTGGAGATGGGGATCAGTTTGTTTACCTTCGCTGCCATAGCGATGTATGTTTATCGCACGCTCACCATTAGAAATGTGTTGGATTTAGTGCGACACGACCCTTTCAACTTCAAGAGCTTTCAGTTCGCAGGGTATTGGAACGAGACGTACACGTTTGTCCTGGCTATGATCGTTCTCCTAGCAAACATTAAACTGAACAAGCTCCTCCGGTTTAACAAGCGGTTCTCGCTCCTGTCCTCCACACTTAAGTACGCGTACTACCCACTGCTGATGTTCAGCATTATCTGGGGCATCGTCTTTCTCGCTTACACGATGTTCGCGTCGTTAGTGTTCGGACCCGTTCTGTACAACTACCGCAGCATCATGGCCTCGCTGACGTCTCTGTTAAGCCTTATGCTGGGAAGGACTGCCTTCTTTGAGATGCGTGACACCAATCGCGTCCTCGGTCCTCTTTTTTTCTTCGGTTTTATGTTCATGATGTCGTTTGTGCTCATCAACATGTTCCTTTCCATCGTGGTGGACTCGTTCATCGTCGTCAAGCACGACAATGACAAGCAATCGAACGAGTATGAAATCGTCGACTTCATCATCGAGCGCTTTAAGCTGTGGTCGGGAATCGGAAAGACTCGGAGACCACAGAGTCGAGGCAAGGTCCTTTGGGAGACGGCTACGTCTCGTGTCAAAGCCGTCAACGTGCTTACCAAGAGCCACCTAACCTCAGATGTCGCAGGTCTGCACGAAGATTCAGTTTCAAAGCTGGAGAACCGACTTGAAAAACTTATTGATCGAACTGAAGAGTTGTATGGGGAGATTTTCCCTGAGAAGAAATACAAAAACTCAGGGAAGACACGGGGAAGGGTTGAAAAAGGAGAAGTGCCTGTTTCTAAGGGGGATATACTTGAGGGGCAAACTGGCTGACAGAGAAAACACAAAGTGGTCTCCAAGGGTGGTGTTTGTAAAATATCTCTTTAAGATGAAGCGTAGTTTGATCGTTACTAAAAATGGACAAAGATTTTAAATTCCTCTACAAAGTCTTTTAATACCGACGTACTTGAATAATCAGATGAAATCATCTTTAAAAATCGTGGTCTTATGATGACTTCTTATGAGATTCAAGGTCTTTTTTAACGCATTAAATCAGCCCACATGTTCTCAAACCTTTGCTTTTAAATCAAAAGATCGACCAGTTTGAAATAAAGTACAGTACTCAAACAGATTGCATAATCTCGGCAGTAAAGATAGTTAAGAACGGATGAAACAACTTAAGATCTCACTGCAGGAAGATTTAAGATATTTAAATTCTAAGAATAGCGTTTCAAAGTACTTCAAATAAATCCTCGGCTAAAAAATAGTTTAGATCAATGCCGAGGACTTTTTGATTATCGAAGGTAATCTAGGATTGCACTAGTTTTCCTTCTTTTCCATCTGCTGAGGCCTGCTAACTATGCGTTTTGAATGCCTCGATTGGCCAATCGATTTAGCTATAGCATGGTTTATACTTTCGGAAAACCAATGACCCTTAAATTGTATACAAATTGTATACAAATTGCCGTACGTGTAGAGTGGTCAGTTGCTAGTGCTCTTTGTATATAATTGAGAGGTTTTCATCAGTGTTTTGATTTAGAATATACTGTCGCGAAAAGTGCAACGCGAAGTTAAGATTAGATACCAGAATATAAAGAAACCATTTTCGTGGAATTTCCAACCACTTTACTTAATTAAATACCAGTCACTGCAGCCCACAACGACACAGCGCTTTACGCATCTCAAAATTCAAAACGATTCTACACCTTATTTAATTGTTTTCCATTACAATTTCAACCTTCTGTTTTTACAAGTTATTTGTAATAATTAATTTTATTCTACATGTTAAAATGTGATTTTCCATTAAAAACAGTTGATTGACAACGTTCGTATTTCGACCAATTTTTGCTGAAAGTCATCTCCAAGCGCTTTTTTTTCTTCCCCATTCTGTGACTCTTCCCTCCCAGTTCTACGCCCATCCTAACCCCAAATTATGTTGTATAAGTCCAGAGCCTCATAAGTGGTGGTTTTGCAGCTTAGCTTTAAAGCTGGATTACAATCATCAAGTAAAATTCCATTCTTTACCGATGTAATAGTGTAACAACAGACCGGTTTGAAAGATGTAGACTTAGCCTACGCTAAAAATGGAATTCTAGCTATTTATCGCTATGTCTGATCGCTCACTGGTTGATTTTTTGTCAGCCTCTAAGTCTTTCATACTGAAGAAAATCTCGTAGATGTTGGTTAGCTTTGGTTTGCTTATGCACCTCCATTCGTAAGTCGTATTCGTTTCAGCGGTTTTCCCAAAAAGCGGCAAATACAAAGATGGCGGCAGACTCTCAGGTAAGGCCTCTTAATGGAAATTTCATGTTTTTTTGATAATAACAAAGTCTAAGGAAGCAGATTAAGACGAGGAGGATGTTAACTCTGATTTATTTTAGAGTCAGATCTATCAGAAGCGTCTGGAACTTCACACTATTGTGTTTGCAGTGGCCTTTTCACCATGTGGCAATTTCTTGGCGGCGTGCAACAACTTTGGACAAATTGCGGTTTTTAGGTGAAGGTCGTTTTGGTGTATTCGTCTGTCTGTTTGTTGGTTTTTTCAATAGATTAACGTGAAATCAAGATGTGTCAATGAAGCCACATTACTATTTGGATTTAATCACAAATCAAGGTTGCATGTTTATATTGCTCTAAGTTCTTAATTTTTCTAAACAACTCTATGTCCGTAAATATTTTAGCATTACTTCTGCTCTGGCACCCGATGCTTCATCCGACAAGAAGAGACCAGTAATATTTTTCCAAGGTGAGTCTATACGTATACATGTAGCTCTACCACTTACTTTTCAAGTGTACCAGTCTTATAATTTCCAGAAGGGCACGGTATCTGTAACACAAACAAGATCAATTTCTGTTCTTTGAATATACCTGGTAATGTAAATATGTAGTGCAATTCTAGAAGATGCCATGCATATTCTGACCTGCCTTGGCAAAGTTTGTTCAGATGATGCATCCAAAAACAAATGTCTTGATATTCTTTGTAGAGTTATGTACAGTGTAGTGCAAGCACCCATTTCTACTCCTTTTTTTTTTTTGGTTTTGTTTTTGATCGTTGCTGGAGGATCAGGTCCCAGTTGTCCACTGCATGAATGTCTTTCTGGTGGATAGCACAGTAAGCTTTGTTGACACCTATGCGCTGGATAGCATTTTATTTATTTGTTAATATTATCCACCTTTGAACAACTGGGCTCAGCTGGGAAGAAAACAAACAGCATATATTTTGGATTACACTGGATTTATACTGGAATATAATTGATCTTACCACAGAAAATACACTTCTTAAAAACAAGGCCACTTAAAGGAGATTCATAATTCTTTCATAAACCATTGTCTATAGCCACAGGAAAGTTTACTCAGCAATATGAGGTCATTCAGTGCTAGAGACCAGTTCTGAAAAACAATGTTACTTTGTGGTTAATGGGTGCATAGTTGATGTAAAAGCTGTGTTGAGTTCTCTTTAAAAAAAAAAAACATTGAAATTTCTTTCAGGTCACAGCAACCCAATTTACAGTCTAATATCTACAGATAAATTTCTAATCAGGTATTTGATTGTGACTCTTTCAGATTTGGTGATCAATTTTGTAGGCAATAATTTTAAGTAGGGAGATGATGTGTCTTTTAAGAGTGAGCAAGCATTTTTTATGAATTTATTTGGCTGTTTATTTTGCATTGCTGTTCAGTTATAACCTATTTTGTAACCTATATTTAGTGGTGGCTCATCTGAAATACATGGATGGCGATGGGATGAAATTCTTGATAAAACAGAGGTGAATATCTGTCTAGATAATTTAAGATTTGTTGATGGAAAATTAAAAATTAAAATTCAGTATTAGGGAGAGATGGTGGATATATGATTGATAGTGTGAACTCTCTGTGGAAAGGTTAGGTTTGAAATCCTGAAGGAGTCATTGTGTTGTGTTCTTGGGCAAGATGCTGTACCCTCAAAGTATCTTTCTCCACCCCAGTGAACTGCTATGGAGGCCTGACAAAACTTTCTTGAGGTGAAGAGGGTGAGGGAATAGTTCCATATTCACAGAAAGCAGTGTTACTCTCATTAGTTTCCTGGTATGAAAACCGAGCTAAGCTCTAGCAGGGAAAGAGGCACTTGGCTTATGTACAATCAATATGATTATATACCTTGAATACTAGGGATTCCTTTAGCCATGTGTACAACCTCTCAGCTGTCAAAAAAGGTGTAAGTTTCTAAAGAAACTGTGGTGCTACATTGGTGGAAGAGTATAGCAGAGTCATTTGGTATTATCAACTGAGTCAAAGTAAATTGGCCACCATTAAGAGTTTCAAAGCTGACATTTTGAGTGTTAGACATTGTCAGAGTTAATGCCTAAGCTATTATATATTATGATACCATACACAAGCTTAGTTCAAAGGGTGATAAAGGAAGAGAAAAAACATAAAACTTAAATTATTCAGTATATAAACTTGAGTGCCCCCCAAAATGTGACGTGAGACCAAATTTTCATGTCTGCTCATATTCTTGTCTTAGATTTAAGGATATTTACACTGTATTTAAAAGGTGTGATATTCCACCAAACCTCTTTGTGCTAAGTATTTCCATTCAGTATTACAGCCTTTTTCTAATTTGTACTCCAAAACTTTTAGGCTCCTTCACCTGCCTGGACACTGCAACCTCCAGCTGCCAGGTGGGGTTCTTTATTATAATTAAGAGACATAAAATGATAATTATCTTGTTTTCTAATCATGGTAGTTTATTTACACATAGTTTACCAATACATGCCTATTCCCCATCCCTTCATCACATTTTGTACACTCAGATAATCTGTTAAACTTACACTAACCTGGGAATCCCTTCATTGTCTTTGTTTATTTGCTTACAAATGCATTTAACCCTCTGACCCCAAAGAGTGACATGCATCCAATTTCTCAGTACAATATCACCCCTGAATCAAACATTAAGGTCATTAGATTGAAGGAAATAATCGACTACTAAAGAAGCTCTTGATTGTCAAACAGATACTCAATACTCAGCTCCTTAGGAAATGTATAGAGAACAGTATGGAGAATATGCATACTGATGTTAGGGTGTAAATGATATGATACTATGATCTTTGTACTCTTACAGTGAGCTATGGGTTTAATGGGTTTTTCCTCGTAAATCTGGAAAATCATTGGATTTGAGAATGAGTTCTGAAAAGGCCCTTTGAAAATGATTTTTTTGACATAATAATACATTTTGTCCATGATTATTTTAAGGATTATTTTTTAGACCTGTGAATGTTGATCCTCTTTTAGAGCCTCACTGGATATACCTGAAACCAATGCTTTGGCATTTTCTGAGCAGGTATGTATTACATATCATAGATTGAAAGGCCCCAATGTTTGTTTGATCAACAGTAATTCTTAACCAATCCCACATTGTGTCTGTAATACACGGATCTGAACACCCCCTCAATTTCTCTGTCACTTTTGGAAACATAAATCTGACACAAGTTTGGAATGTTTTGCAACTTGATCTAGTACATTTTTTTTTTGGCAATTTTTTTGGCTACATGTGTTAACTTTGGACAAATTTCTACATGCAAGTATCAGTTGTTTGTTTTTGATAGCTGAACATGAGATCAACATGCATTATAACATAGCTAGTAAATTTGTCTAATCAAATTCAATTGCACGAGTGTGCTTCATATTCCTCTTGTGCACATTCATGATGTCAGCAAACATATCCCTCAAGAAAAAAATTTTCCTTTGGGTTGAAAATGTTATAAAACAATTGGTTCATAAGTCAGCTGTACATTCATCAAGATATGAAGCACACGGGAAGTTTGGAGAGCACTCAAGAAGCTAGAGTTGCTCTCAGCTACGCCTCGAGCAACTCTTACACATCTTTTGTGCTCTCCAAACTTCCTGCGTGCTTCATATCTTGATGAACGCATGCTGACATATGAACCAATTGTTAATTGAAGGAGCTACAGTTTGTTACCAAAGTTCATGTTTCTCTTGCACCCTACAAAACTGTTTTCTGATTATAGAAGATATAAAGGTGCAAAGATGATAAAGTGTTATTCACGTTTTTACTCTCAGAAGTAATTGTGATAGACCATGTCCCCATAATAGTTATGTCCATACATTATCCAGCAAACAGGAAATGAGAATAAAGGGGGTAATTTTCTAAAGAAACTGCGGTGCTGTGTTGGTGAGAGAGGATAACAGGTAATTTAGTGTTAACAACTGAGTTGAAAACAAAAATTGGCCACCTCTTGAAACGGTAACCTTTAAACTCTTTACAGTGGCCAGTTTACCTTTTCAACTCAGTTGTTAACACTAAATTACCAGGAAATGAGAATACTCAAACTTATCAGCTACAAGTTGTTATCATGATATGACACCAAATTCTCGTAATCAATTTAAAAGGAAACATGTCTCGGCTAGAGGGGAGAATTTACAAGAAGATCTTCAGAGTGCAAGGGTTGTAAAAACTATAGTAATTAGATTATTGTTCCTGATTGTCCGTTATTGGCTGTTAAAAAACTTGAAGGCACTTTATAGATTCGATATTACTGTAGTTTTATACATGTACACTGTGTTTTTATAGGAAGACACACTTTTCTCAGGCTGTGGGGACAATAATATTTATATGTGGGACCTTGAGTCTGGAACATGTAAGGTAATCTTTAAAGAAAGTTACATTTCATGTTTTAATTTAGTTAAAGAATGGTGTTTTGTCAAAGAATACTTCATCAAGTGATCTTACCTTAGTATCAAATACTTATTCATTTTTTCATTAACCTTTATTACTTGACTGTGCCTTTTAGAACACATTGTCTGGTCACTCAGATTATATTCAGTGCCTTACTCTCAGAACAAAACACGGTCAATGTGTGAGTGGAGCTGAAGATGGAACTGTGAGATTATGGGGTATGAAGTTACACTGAAGTTCAATACCTTACACTAGCCTTGTGTTCTTGATTCAAACTGTAAGTTACAAACCAGTTTTTTCTGCTTGGATTTATGGCCCAAGTGCGAAGCACACAGGCTATGAATCTGAGGGGGAAAAATGAGGTTCCATGACAAACAGTGCAGACTTAGAAAACTAGGTTCATAAGATATACTGTATCCCTGTGTTCAAGTAGAGAGGGAAGACTTTTTAACCCTCTGAACCCCAAAGGCTACTTGCATCTAATTTCTCCTTTCCAAGAATAAAGGAAATGATCACCAACTAAAGAAGCTCTTGACTGTTGAACAATTCTCCTTGTCAGCACCATAGGAAATGTATAGAGAACAGTATGGAGAATATGCATAATGATGTTAGGGTGTAAAGGATTTAATCAGGTGATACAGTGAATTAAAGCCTGGCACATTGACCAATTTTCTTTTACTGGCCAAAATGGTTGTTTTCCCCAATTTTTAGATTACAGAACAAAAGGATCCATGACTGACATGATTGAACCCTGTAAAAATGAGGTAAAAATGGAGATGTTTGCTTTACAGTTGGTGGATTTTCTTTCTTTAGTACTTCATTGATTAAAAAGCCAGTTTTATTGCTTTTTAAGACTTATGCACATTTTTTTTTTTTAAATATACTAGGTTTTTTTTAGCATTTTTACTTTACATCTTGAGCTCCAATAATTCTAGCTGCATCAACTTTAATTTCCTACCAGGTTCTCACTTGTTAAATTTTTATTTCTTTTCCAAATCATACTTAGATTAACTGCATGGCAGACTTTGTTGAGTAGTCTGTATCAGGCCAAATCATAAAATAAATGCAGTACACTGTATGACTTGTACATGGTTTTGTAAGTTTTGCAAGATAAATGTTAATTTTTTTATGCCTTCACACCAGGATATACACAGACCTCATTTGGGGTCTTGGATAGGTTGTGTTGCTGTTGATGAGGGTGAGGACTGGCTGGTGAGCAAATGAGTATTTTTTTTGGGGGGGGAGGGGGGGTTGGGTTTGTTCTAAATGTTTTCTTTTAGTAAGTTCCCTCAAGAACAGTTTTGCAGCTGTGTGATTAGACTTCCTTGAAACAGCAGTTGAAAAATACAAATATTTTGCTTCACAATAGTTATTCTAAGAAATTTGCCTATAGTCTTTGACCTTGTGTACTTCACCCAATTTCCTAGGCTCATGTCTTAATGTTTGTTTATAAGGCAATACCTGCATAAGAGGGTAATTTAGCATTATCAAATGAGTTGGCCAATGTAAAGAGTTTCAAAACTTAAGGTCCAGAGCGTTAACCCCCTCATAATAATAATAATAATAATAATAATAATAGGGATTTCTATAGCACCATATCCGCAGGCTCATGGTGCTCGTCAGAGCAAATGGAGGAGTTGTGGGTTGTGGGTGGGTTTATTATACAGAAAATGGAGCAATGCTACTGGTGGGAATATAGTTATGAGAAAACAAGAGTAAATAGTTGAATGAAAAGCATTTGCTTGCTGATATGGTAGGGATTAAGAGTGCAGATTTGAAAGATGCATTTTTGTCCTAGAGTTTTGTGGCTTTCTAAACTGCCTAGATATAGGGAGAGGCCACAAACTGCCATATGCTGCTTAGACTTACCTGCATGTTGTGTTTATTCTTCACACACACATATATTCATTTACAGGTCTGTGGTGGTGGCCCATCCCTGTCAGTGTGGCATTTGAGGTCCATGAATTGTACAAGTGTTCTGAAAACAGCTTCTAGTCAACAGTCTGCCCTTTTCCATGATGACCTTGTAAGTGACAATACTATTATTAACCCATTAACACCCTAACCCCAGAATGCATATTATCCATACTGTTTTCTATAAATTTTCCTACAGTGCTGACATGGAGAATTTGTTTTAAAAAATCAAGAGCTTCTTCAGTTATTGATCACCTCCAGCCTTTATTTTCATCACCTTAATGGGTAAATCAGACTGATAGTATAAGGAGAAATTTGATGCTAATCACTCTTCTGAGTCAAAGGGCCAACAATCATGTATAACAGCCTGATCCATCGGTTACACTACAAAATGAATGCACAGGTTTATGGATTCTGGTAATTTTATATCCTTTGTTAAATTAAAGACAGTGCAACATAAATGAAGAGTTACTTTTATGGGGACATTTAAAGACATCCTTGTGAAAAGCAACCAGATTTGAGAATAAGATCACATGCGACAAGATTTTGCATTGGTTGTGTCCAAAATGTGGTGTTACTTGAAACGTTTTTAACCAAATGAAGTTTCTTATAGCTCTGTTGAAACTTGGCTCCGTTGAAAGGATGGAAGATACATGTTTAAAAAAATTTTTTTTCACACATTTTCATTTTGATGTGAAAGTTAATTTTTTTCTCCTTAAGATATTGTCTGCAGGGTCAGAACCAACAGTGTTCCACTGGCAGATAAATGGGGATCCAAAAACACATGTTCCTTGCACACCAAACTCAGTTTTTACCATGCAAATTAATGACCAGTCTCCAAAGAATAAGGTAGCTAAAAATAGTTCATCTGTCTGGCCCCAGTTGTTCAAAAGGTTGGATAATGCTATCTACTGGATATATCGGTACATTTGCAATCACTTATGCATTAGATAGCATTATCCACCCTTTATACAACTGGGCCCTAGTGGTTTGCAGAGTATGTTTTGCTTTTACTTATCTGATGGATACCAATCTGTTCTTTTGCTAATTATAATTGTTTTGATTTAATGACTTTACACCAAGGGGGTGTACAAGTCATAAAGGGATTTCCTTTTCAGGCTTCCAGTTGGAGGCAGCTTTGAGGAAAATCACAATTTGATAATAAATACACAGGAAATAATGGGAATCAAAAACAGAGTTGATGCTTCTAGTTAAAACTTCTTTGTTATTAAGTTCAAACAGTCAAGCATAGAAATATGTAACTTTTAATATTGGGGGTCTGTTCAATGTTTGGATTGGTGTTGTAGTCATCTTCAGATGCTGCTTAACAGACATTAGTTGAATGCTGAATTTGGTCATAATTTTCTCATTCCTTTTTTACAGAGGATGTTAAGAAAACCTACCCACAGGATATTCATTCAGTCCTTTTTTTTTAATTGCCTAAAAAGCAAGATAAGCTTATTAAAGTTCACTTAATCGCATGATAATATTGAAACCTGAATAAGTTTGTCCTTGAATTCTTAATTTTGCCTTGTGTGTTACAATTAACCCTTACTTTTTTTTTTTCAGGTTCTTGCAGTGGGTGGTTGTTCAGCTGACATTGATGTTTTTACAAACTTTGGCTACAAAGCACTATCATTTAAATTTTCTCAATAAACTAGTCCATTGTCAATTGTGGATAGAAATAGTGTTGTGTAAAATAGAAATGAATATTTTTGCAGGTACTTGCACAATAGGTTATACTAACCATCAGACTGTAATAACTCCCACAGAAGAACACTAAAACATTGTAATAACTATTGGCCACAAGATGCAGAAAACTCAACATGGAGTTTTGAAAAGCATGCAACACCTAGTTTAAAACTGGTCAGTCATTACATTTATCTGTTGGCAAAAACTGATTTTCCCCCCCTCCCCCCCTTTATTCCTCCCAAAAACCATGTACTTCCCTTCCCCCCCCCCCATGGTAAAAAATGACTGGTTCACAAAGTCACCTACCTATGTAAAAAGAGGTGAATGAAGGGCATAAAAGTGTGTAACATATATGTTAAATGTTCCTCGTTGTAATTCAGTTGATTGGTTTCAGTAAAACAAAGGGGGAGAGGTGACAGGTTTCAACAAACAAGCATTCCTGCAAAGCGAGAGGGGGATAGTAATTGTGTGGACAATTTTTTGGCCAACAGGCAGCACGAAATTGCCATCTACTCATGCACTTCAAGAGAAATGCATTTCAATAAGATTGAAAATGAACTTAAATTAACAAACTGAGAAAAATCATTTTCTGATCAAAATTTTTCTTAACCTTTGTAAAAGCTAGTTTTTAATTGATATTTTCCACAATTATATTGAACTTTAATTAATACAATGCATTACAGAAAAACATTCTTATGTGAAATTTGTCTTTGTACACAATCTCCTCCATAAGTTAAGTTGATACAAAATAATCACTAATATTAATAGTAATGTTTGAATTTTACAGTAGGTACATACAAATGACATTTTTACAGCTATTGTAAAATATTATGGCTAAAGGAAATTGCAACTTAATAATTTGTCATTAAATAATATTTCACTAAAAACAGCTACAACTTTCTCATTTTTCAGTTCTTAACCTCATTCTGCCTTCATAAATTGTAATAAATCTTGCTCAGTTTGATTTTCCCTAGCTACTTCTTGTAAAGTGCAATCTGACATTACGTTCATCAAACAATATAATTTCCTCAAGGCACTCTTAATATCCATACAATTTGCATTTGTAAACATCTTTGTCAGTGCATTCTCTGGTCTTATCGAAGTAAATGAAGCAGCCATCTTTGCGTTGAAGTTTCTTTACATAGCCATTATGAGGCCAGCGATCCTAAGTCAAGAAACACAAGGATCATAATCATTATCAGAGAACTTAAGTTTATCATTTGAATTTATAATCTGTTTGTTTCAAAGAAGATTATGGGTCTGAGTAAACTATCGATAGCCTTAGCAAACAGCATGAACCTAACTTGTCCACAGTACCTTTCTTTTAAAGACGAATATCGTTAGAAATCGCTTTTTTGGAATTTCATAGGAGATTAAACGCACTCTGGAGCACCAGTTGTATGTGTCTCAATAACCCCAAAATAAATAGTGGGCATGGGGAAGCTCACGAAGGGTCACAGCCTGACAAAATTCATCAAGCAATTACGACTATCTTAACGATAAGCTTAACTTTGTAGATAAAAAAAGATTAGGGTTGAGCAGAACTTCAACCTAATGGGGCCGGAAAGAGGGTCTGAAGCTCGTTGCTTAGAGGTGAAAACGGATTTTGGTCGCCTAACCGAATTATACCTACATGTATTCACGTAGGAAACACCACAGTAATTTCATTTACGAAGGTTCTTCTGTCTCCTTTTGTGCGCATAAATTGTTTCAAACCTCGCAAAAAAGAAGTCTTAAGGGTCATGACTAGGAAGTAAAACAATACACACTCCTGAAGTAAATAAAATCTCGAGGAACTTACAGGTTCTTTTTGTTTGACATCGCGGTATTCGTGGACATCTCTATAGCCAGCGATCTGAAATCTGTAAGCTAGTAAAAAGCAAATTTCACAAAGAAAGTTAGTGAATGCTTCAGAAGTCATAGCGGAAAACAATTTTATGATAGTTAGCCATTTTATGATAAATATTGTGAGGTTCATAAAAGAAAAGGAAGTATCTGATACCTTCTTCCACTTCCTCGCTCCAGCGCTTGGGTCGAGAAACTGATTTTGGTCCTGATGGTTGTGCGATAGGAGACACAATAGACGCCATATTGTTTGATCCTACAAGGAAACAAAATGTTTTAATAATTTGGTTGAAAAAGGTTTGTGTCCACAAGAAAAAAAGGCTTCTCTTTGATATTTGATGGCAAGTTGCCTTGAGCACGAGATGAAATCTTGTGGCAAAGAGAAAATTGAGTTTCGTAGCCGTTCTGTGGTTTTAAATCAGCCGCAGTCTTAGTGAGGAACACAGAGAGCTAATAATGGAATGAAACGATGTTCATATTCGCTTAAATGCGATTCTAGTGCAACAGAAAAGCAAAAAAATTGCTTGAAACAAAATTTGCAACGTGTACAATATCTCCGTCACGATAGGGGAAATTGGAGATCATGCAATCTGATTGCACTCTGTTGGAGGACGTAATTCGCCAAGAAACGAATATTTCTCGGAAAAATCGAGGACACCAAAGCGAAAGAACTTACCTTAACAGTCCTTGTCTTCAAAAATGATAGTCAAACGTAAAACTCTCTGATATAAACAGTCTGAAACTGTTTTGTCCGCGCTATGCAACAGATGTCTGATTGCCTTCTGATTGGCTCATTGTTAGTTGCTATAACAACGTGAAAAACAATCAATAATCTTTGAGCCCACAGGATAGTCAGTGGTCGTTTTCGGGACCGTACATGTATTCATACATCAAATATTTTCCAACGGTAAACAAAGATGGCGGATGCGGACTGATGTGCAATCGTCTGCTTTGTCAAAGTCGAAAAGGATGGATTTTCTCTTCATGGCGTTTATATATACTTTAATTTTTGTTACCCTATCATATGTAGTTTTTTTTGGAAGTACTGACTTTCATCGAACTGGTTTAGTAGGTTTTCTACGAAGAAAATTGTTTTCAGTGAGTGTCTTGTCTTTTTGTGTAGCTCTTCTGCGCTTATATATAGTTAAGTCTTTTTTTAACGCTAAGCAAAACTAATCAACTATCATTGAAATAAGCAATTGCGGAATTGTGTCAGATATGCCTTTGTTGGTTGAGTAAGCACGTAGATGTCTTTGTCCATGAAATTAAAGCAATGTTATTTATCTTTAATTTAGGTTTCCCATTTGACGAAGTCTACTTTTGAAAAGTGCGTTCCAGCAGCTTTAACTGGCATGATAAGAAGTGCTACAACTTATCTCTTGTTTAAAAGGTATGCTAAGTTATTTTAAAGGCTTTGATTTAGGAGCAAGGTAGTGTTTGATTTTTAAAAGTCGCGTGACAAGTCAGTCGCCTGACATGAGGGTAACAGCTTCCTTGTTCTTAACACCTGTCTGCAGAGCAGTCTCCAGACTTTTTACCCATTAGATAATTAATTTTATCAAATAAGTCATTCGTGGGAATTGGTAGAGAAGTTCTAAAGCTGACATTTAGAGTGTTTTGAATTGATAACTTTGTAAACTTTCATTTCAGATAATTTAATTTTGTCTCTTTCTAGAAATCCTTGTATTCAGCTTCTTTATGGCTTCCTTATGAGTGGAGGGACTGCTATCTACAGCTTCAAAGTCATTCCTTACTTTGACAAAATGAATACATTTAGCATTGTTACATATATTCTTATAGCCATCAATGTGATGCTGTTTTTGGTTTGTTGTACACATGATCCTGGTGTGATAAAAGTGACAAATCACACAGAGTACATGAATGACTATAACCCTGATGGTGTATATTACACAACACAAGAGTGTTCTACATGCAAGTTTATTAAGCCAGCAAGATCAAAACATTGCTGTAAGTACATTAATTGTTGATATGTACTTAACTATTACCTCCCAGTAGTCTCTTTAAAACATCAAGTTCAAGCCAGGTTGTTATTAATTATTTGACACTATCTGAAACTACATACAGGTGCCAAAAGAGTGTGTGGGAGATGTGGTGGCCTGGATGCTAGCATGCTGGACTCTGGGTTAAGAGGTTCAGCCATGCATGTTGATTGGCTGTAAAACTTAATACCAACTAATATCTGTGAAAACAAAAAAGTTCAAGTCTGCTTTTGAACCAAATGGTCTAAGAACAAAGGAATTGATCACCATTATCTAGGGTGAGGGGCATTGGGATTTTCACTTTTGCAGTTTTGTCTTTTTTTAAGATTGGTTTTTCAATTGTTGTGTCAAAAAACTTCAGTTTTTCTGTTTTGGTGTTCATGCAGTTTGCATATTTTCCATTTTTTAGCATTTGGTTTTCGGTTTTTGTGAAAAATTCTAATAGGTTTTCAGATTTAATATCTATGTGGTTTTTGGTTTTTCCTATTTGGGTTCCGTTTTCTCTTTGATCTGAGTGGCAATTATGGGCCTCTACTGATCTGGAATAGTTGCAAAACTTCTGTATGCTCCACTTGTCACCACTGTTGTGGATCGATTAGGGTTTTGACAACTGGGATGTGAAAATTTATCAGTTTTGATGGTTTTGCATAGGGTTTTTGGCTTTTGATCAAATTTTTTTTGGTTTTGCAATTTTGGATGAATTTTTTCTATGGTTTTGCATTTTCTAATGACCCCAGTGCCCTCACCCCCTCTTCTTAAGAGGCTCTTGACTGTTTGAAACAAATTCTCCCCATGTATGACAAGAAATGTAGAGAGGAAAGTTTGGAGAATAACCATATTGATGTCAAGGTGTAGAGAGTTGAGTGTCTTACCTAAGATCACAACAACATGACAGGGTAAGGGTTTGAATCAACACCTCTTCACCTGGAGTCCAGCTTGCTCAGCATTAGGCCATCTATGATGGCAACAGCAGCCTGTTTGTGTAGATAACAATGAGATTTTGAGTACAATTTTGTGTTAATTAGTGCAAGTAAATTTTTCAAAGACAACTAAACTTACTTATGTTTATTTGCACTCAAAATCATGTCACTTTTTAATGATTTATGTGAAAAAAAGCATTACAGAATATCTACATGGACAAAATTTTGACATAAAATTTTTATTGTTTGCACTCCTGTTAAGACTTTGCACTCAAGTTACATTAAAAATGCACTAACATTTTCAGCTTATCAGACATGTGCAATTTTTTCTTGTATATTATTACAAATTGAGAGAAAACCCTGTTTAACCCTTTAACTCCCATGAGAGACCAAGACAGAGTTTCTCCTTACAATATCAATACAATACCAGGCAGACCAGTGATGAGAATAAAGAAAATATTAATTAGGGGATCATAAGGTGATCAAATGCCAAATTCTCAAAATCAACATAACAAGAATTGTATAGCAGACTGTAAGGAGGATTTCTAATGAGATCTTGGGAGTTAAAGGGTTAATACAGCCTGACATCACCCCAGTTATGCTTTTACCCATTGACATGTTCTGGTGACTCTATTATTTTATTTCAACAGCTCTATGTGATGTGTGTGTGAGTCGTTTTGACCATCACTGCTCCTGGGTGAACAACTGCATTGGAAAGAAAAACTACAAGTTCTTCTTGTGTTTCATCATAAGTACTGCAATACTTTGCGTGTATGGGACACTTGTGACGGCAGTTGTGTTTGGTTATATTGTGCTCTCAAAAGGCCTGATCACCATGAATTATGAGGCCTATGATGGAAAGCGTTATCCTGTAGGAATCAGATTTTTAACCCAGGTAATTCATATTAAAAATTGGATAATTTACATTGTCATACAAGATCCACTGCATACCCCTCTAAATTATCTCATGAACAGAACTTCATGATGAAGAGTAGATGATAGATAAATCTTGTGTCTGAGGCCAACTTGCATAGCTGTTGGAACTTATTCTGGCCTCTTTAGCATGAAACATCTGGGAATAATATTTCATCTGAGGGATTGGCCCCTAACAGGGTATTCCCCTGCATTTTGTCAGCCTTTCCCTACAGTTCAACCCTACTCATTTATACCCTTGGGGACACCTTTAGGTAGAATGCATCCCATCACCATCAGCCACTAGAAATTCATCAAATTTCCCTGCATACCAATTTTCTGCTACCATTAATAATCTTGGGTGGAGAGAGACACTGGGGGAGAAGAACAGTTTCTTGCCTGAAAACACAACACAATGACTCAGCCAGGGCTCTAACCCAGACCTCTCAAATCGCCGTCCAGCATATCTACCAGTAGGACAATACATACTTGCATACATACACTTGAGTATGCATTTCGAGTGACATAAAACCAAAACCAATCATAACAGCCAATCAGAACATAGGAAAATAACACGAGCAGAAAATGAGACCTCGGGGTAAAAACTAGGAAACTACCCGAAGCGCCAAGCCACGAAATGACCTTAGTGTCAGATCTGATTGGCTGACAAAGTGGCGCGTGTTTTCTAGACCAATTACAAAGCGAATTAAAGCAAAACCAGAGCAACCCTGAATAACTTTCGTCAATCTCTTGAAAATTTTTGCAACGACAGAAATTGCTGCAGCAGTAACTCCTTTTATCTTTTCCTTGCAGTATTTGCTGGTTCGGCAACCCTTGCTGGCAATACTATTCCTTGTTGTTTTGTTCTTTGGTGTGGCCATGACAGGATTCTCCTTTTTTCATTTCTACCTTGTTCTTACAAATCAGACCACGAATGAATTTTACAAACGTCATTATTATGGTAAATCCCACCCAAAGTTATCTCGGCAGTCAAAAATCGTCTCGTCTCAGACTGAGAAAACAATGATACGAACGACGAGACGAAGGACTTTAACCCGTAACAAAGAAACCTCGTCAAGAACTTCGACTAATGATGTAGTAGCTACAGAAAAATTGCCATCTCCGAGGACTAGTACACCATATTACATTGGAATTTGGAGAAATATTACAGAAGTAATGCGCGTGTGATTGAGGAAAAAAAGAAAGATTTGGGAGAGATTGTGAGATGGATTTTTTAGCGCTGCCAGGAGAGGGCGCATTAATGCAACTTGCATGTGTTCATTGTAGATTTCTGCAGCGTTTACTTTCATTTTGTTCGATGAAAAATTTATTTTTGGACACTAATATTTTGAAGGAAAAGAAGTTTGATCGAGGAAGTTTGGTATTCTTAATTGCATTTCACTTCATTAAAAAAAGTTACAATATTTCAAAGATATGCAAGATTCTTAAGATAACACTCGAGATTTCTCAGGATATTTCAACTTATCCCTGTCAATCTTTGAGAACCCACGAATATTTCAGGGTTTGGTTTTACTGTATTCAAAGGCGATGCTCTGATGCCAAAATTGACTGTAAAATGGTTCTGTAGCTTTTTTAATAATCCCACCATGACTGTTCCTTTTGCTAGTCAACTCACGATTCAGTAGCTGAAGGTTGCGGAAACTACATTTCTATTCACTTAAAGTCCAGAAAAGGCCAGTACATTCCGGCCGAATTTTAACTCATTCTTGACCCATCCTTTCGAATTTCTTTATTTTAATGGGTTATGAGATGACTCAAATTTTCACTTTTTTTCTAGTACGATGTCAAACTATTGGGTTTTTATTGGACGCAGTCTACTGTATCGACTCGTTACATTTACTCGACCGGGAAAGTCAAACATAGTTGTCTAATTCACTTGAGTTGAATGTTGTCTAAAACCTTAGTTACTTTTGTTAACGTAGTGCTTCCTCACATATCCAAATTCAACTCGAAAGAATTGGTAAGAGAGTATTTACATTTTATAATATACTGCAGGCAACTTCTGCTCTCTCTACCACGCTGAGCCAATGAAAGGTATTCTATGTTTTGTTTTAAAACTTTATTTTTCTTTTTCATGCATCCCTTAGCTTCTTTCTGTTCTAACCATATATGGATTAAACAACAGACCGCATCTTCTATCGTTTTACGTGCGTAATAACTCATGCAGGCAGGAGCAATGAGCTCCCGACGTAGGATGTCAGTGGGAGAACTAGAAAAATTAGAAAAATTAACGTCGGGTACAGTCAACAAGCTTTTCGTGAGTCTTCCGATTTCCTAAGAGGGTCATCAGTACGCTGGTGGCGAAGAGTGTGGTCTTATTTTGTGATGAAACAACCGTGAAAAGTTTGTGAACAGTTATTTCCAGTCTGGACAGTTATTTCCTGTTGCAAAGGACTGAAGCAGCAACATAATTAAAAGAATGTTGCAACATTCATACCCCTTGTTTTACCTTTCTGCTGACACCATTTTTGTGAGGTTTAATCGAAGATTCTGTCTCCGAATGCGGAAAATTCGGAGACAACGTTCCCACGTATTTTCTATTTTTGAAGTGTCCCGCCCTCGCTTTTGCAAATAGAAGAGAAAAGCGACGTTGGAAACTTTTTTTAATTAGAGTAAGGCCGATCAAGAAATCCTATAAACTCTTTCTGTATAACGGACACTGAATTGATGCATTATAAAATTGAACACAGAGAAGAATAAAAATCCATGAATGTGGTGATATACTCCTTGAAAACTGTCAAGTAATCTTGTGAAAGCAGCGTACCTATTCACACATACACAGAAAATCCATGAGCAAAGTTTGCAATGCCTCTAAGTCTTATTGTCGCACAAACAGGAATGCCAGTCACAGTACAAGTCAAACTGCGCAGCATCAAACCTACGTACGTCGATTAGTGAGGAGCAATGTTCCGAACATTTTTAGCAGAAGTGACGTAGGGAAAAACTTAGTGATGAAAGTTATTGGCTTTTCGAATCCACTTGATGAAAGAGTTAGTACAAGAAATCGCGGAGACCTTTGAGATTCCCTCGTGATGCAGCAATCAATCAATCAAATCATTATTGCACCACGTGGGATCAGGTTGTTTTGTGCATCTCCCAGCTGGCTTAATTTACGTCCTTTTTACGAACGGAAAAACGTGCATGGCACTGAAAATCCATCTTTACGGAGTGTAATTAGCGCGTGGGAGGATCCCGTGCACAAGGAGAAAATGGCAGCGTGTACTATGGCCGACAGGCTCGTTAGGAATGTGAATCGTGATTTTCCTTCTTTTTAACCCCTCTGTTTATTTAATTTATTGCTCTAGCAGATATCAATCGCAAGGTCTTGAGACAAATGAAATAAAACGGCTGAAAAAAGAGCTTATTTTCTGTTTAGTTCGAAAGGGCTGTTGAACTGAATTAATTACTGCGGTAAATCATGCTCGTAACTCATCTTCTACGTATTAATGAAAAGTGTCACTGCGTTTCGCTAGCGTGCCGACCGAAGAATTCACCACCACGCAAACAATACTTCTTTTGGTATCACATTCTTGGCTAAGGACGATAAACCGTGAGCTTCTCTGTACTGGTTAGCAGTGGACGATAAAGAACCCACGCACTTCTCGCAAAGAGCTGGGAACGCAGTTCCCAGTGTTGTGGTCAGGCTTTGTTAATGTTCACAATTTTTTAAGATCCCCAATAAATATTTTCTGTATAGAAAGAGTGGTGCAATAAAAGAAGTAGGAGGGACGTTGTTTTTATGATGCGGTGGAGGAAAAGTTGACAAAATTGAAACGCTTTTAAAACGATGTGTAAAATTTATTTTAGACGGAGTGAATCGGCTTAAAATGAGTTTCTCATTATGGGGGTTAAAATACTTAAAATACTTAAGAACAGATAGGGTCGTCGATGCATCAGGTGAGAAAGATTTTTAGTTGCCTTTTGTCATACTTAAAGCATTACGATAAAAAAAGTTAGTCTATGAAACAGTTCACGCTGCCTAGACATTGGCAGTTGCGCATCAAAACTGTTATTTTTAAGAACTCCCGCAATATACCGATATAGGTTGAGAGCCCCGTTTAAATGGTGATAAACCATAGTATTTGATATACATCCTAAATAAAACGTGAGAACTTTTGCTGGGGTCTTTTGAAACCGTTTCACTTTATTGTGGGTAAAAATATATAAAAAATAAACAAGAACGGTTTAAAACGTTATGCGCGGTGATGTTTGTGAAGATTTGCCGCCGTAATAACTGGGCGACCTTCTGAGGTCGGTGGTAAACGTGATACTATTTATGGTTGAATTAGTCTTTATTCTTATCTTAAAAACCACAGATAAGAGCAGCCTTTCACTTAATTCAGTCAAATATAATTAAAGCCCTAAATATTTGGCATGCGTTCACAGATACCATTTTCACCTAAGGTGCGGTCGCGAGCACGATTTTTACTTTATAATTGCTTCGGTGGGTTTATCATGATAATATTTCTCTGGTTCATCTCAATCGTAAGATTGAATTTAAGGAAGTCAAAGTGTTTTAAAAGCTTTTAATCGTAACCTACTTAAGCCTCAATCGGCTTTTAAATCGATCAGATTTTATCAGATAAACATCACTTAACGTAAATTTGAGATGGTGTTTTTTCTTGTTTTTGTTTTTATTTTTTCAGTCACTCTCCGTTTCTGGTCCGATCTTTTGAATTTTTTATCCACTCTACTAGTGGAATTTATAAATCAATATAACTAGCAAGAAGGCTGCAAACCATTTCCTATTTAGCTTTCAAAATCGTAATATTGTTTCAACGATAAACGTACAGTTTTCAGCTGAAATATTTCCTGAATGTTCCAGTCTTCGAAGCGATTTCAAAGAAATGAAATCTTGAAAAAAAGAGAAAGTTGAAGAATTAAGTGTTTTTTGTTTACTTGACTGTCCATTAACCACGTTATTTGAGACTCAATTTAATTTTAAAAAAAACAATATGAAAAATATGTTGTACCGCACGTGCAAGTTGAGTTGGCTTGACACAATAATACCATTCCTTTTAAGGCACCGAGCAGTGCGCGGTGAAATCTTGCTGTGGCTTTGAAACTTCTTACGCTAGATTTGATTGCAAATTCGTTTTATGGCCGAGTTATTCTAAAGTATTCTCGATTGTTCGTCGTCTTACAGTGATAGTGTTTAAGATTTTTTTTTTTCAGAATAAGAAATCCCATTACACTGAAACAAGAAACAATTTTTGCTCGCGCAACTCACAAACAGTTCAGAGTCCATTTATGACGTCATAAATGAAACAAAAACAAAAAAAAAGGTGGAGTTTCACAAGTTGTTTCATGCAATCAGCGACCGCACATTCTTTCAACTCATAGAAGCTTTTTCACCCCAAAGACTGTTATCACTCCACCCTGCCTTGATTTTCACTTAGGTAAGTTCTAACTACGGGGCTGATGTTCGTTCTTTTAGTTTTTGCAGTAACCGAGAAGCTCTGTTGACCATAAAAAGCTAATTGAGGTCAAACTTACTCGATCAATCAAAAACTCAGGGTTAATATCATTAAAACTCAGTGAAATATTTGACGGAATAAAGCGTTACTTTGATCAGTACAACCATGATTTTCACAAATACGTCCACAACAACGTACAAACGGTACACAAAATGAAAAAGCTACCGTTTATTTTTTTCTAGTTTTCCTAGCAACTAAGAGAACCTAAGCTGTCACAAATTTGCATACTCATTGCGATGAAAAAGCTAATTTTGAGTATAACAAACGTTTGTTTAACAAACGCGTAGTCACTGTCGTAAATAATCCGTAATTATTTGACGGAATAAAACACGACAATAGTCAGCCACTGATTAACCCTTAATTCGGCGAGGCACCTCAGTGTTGGCCCTTCCTCGAGAGCGGTTAAGTTTAAGTAGCATCTTATTCTGAAGGATATTAAAAGCTTAAAAATCCTCGAACAAAAATACATCTCATTGAGAATTCCAGTCACATACACTTGTTTATTACCTTTGTGGGAGGTGTTTTTTTCCTTTTGAGAACAACGTTTCCGGAGATTTAAACATTAATCATTTGTGTAAAGTCAATTTAAATTAAATGTAGCGTTGACAAAGGAATTCTCGTTGAAGATTGTGGTTTTCGTATTCAGAGTGAGGGGCGATTTCTGGCTTTAGTGGCCTCAAACTTTCGCACATGCTGACAATTCCTTGAGGTCTTATTTACCATAAAATTTTGGCTCTGTAGTACGTTTTAAGGAGATTTTGCGCATAGTTAGTAACGTGAAAAGAGCGAAGTTAGTGAAGTCCAAAGAGCACTCTTTAAATCACCCTGTTGACAGAGATGAAGTAAGAACTGACGCTCATATGGAATTTCCTGTCAGCCTTTAACTTAGAAAACAAGTTGATTAATAGACAATTACGTTTAGTCATAATGCGAGGTCAAAATACATCTCGTTTTTGTTTTGAAAAATATACTTAATTTACATTTCGTTTTGTAACATTTGCTGCATTTTTCCCGGTTTCACTTTAAACAGCATTGTTCACGTTGCGATTGTGATATTTAAGCTTTTTTCAGTGGTTTCGATAAGTTAAAATCTTGAAAATTTAATTCATAATTAAAGCAAAACCTAAAAGAAAAGTGTTTTAACCCTTCAACTCCCATGAGTGACCGAGACAGAATTTCTCCTTACAATATCAATACAATACTAAGAAGACAAGTGATGAGAATAATCACAAATATCAATTAGGGGACAATTAGTTAATCCAAGAGCAAATTCTTCAAACAAACATCATATGAGTTGTATGGCAGAAAGTAAGGAGAATTACTATCGAGATCTTGGGAGTAAAAGGGTTAAGCACACGCACATTCTGATGATTAAAATTATCTCTGCAATGTTCCTCATCGTCAATAACTGACGCTGAACGCCATCAAAGAATGATTTCAAGCGATCAGTGGAAAAAAGTCAGCTAGTGCTATCTTTCGGACCGGCCATCGACTACGTAATGAAAAAAAAAATCTGTGTGCGATGTATGGGGTTAAACTTCACCACCTGACTCGTCATCGATATAAAAAATAAATTTCCTGTTTAAGACAATCGGCTTCATTAAACGGACCTAGGTTCAATACTGCTAAAAGGTTTTAAACTAGTCTCTTGACTCTTAGAAACAATTTTTGGTATAAAATATGGAGATCCTTTGATTAAAAGTGGGACAAGTTTACAACAACTGTTTTATTCCTAGAAAACACCACTGGGATAAATTATTTTGGTTGATTTATTTCAACTTTCAGTCATCCCTGAATCATATCGCTTATGACAGCCGCAATAGAAGGGGCCCGGCGAGCTTTTCCTATGGGAGGAGACTGAAAATCCCATCTCCCCATGGTTATTACTATTAGGAATAAGAAGGAAAATGGCATGACATCTTTATGAAATAAAACCGGCTCTCCGGCTCTCCATTTCAGCTCCATCCATTTTTACTCTATCTGCGCTGAAGAAGTCTTTCGCGCACTCACTTTTCGCTAGTTTACCTCCAAGCGAGCGTTTGGCGCAGGCAGGGGAACATACAAATGCAAAATTTCTTAGCTTGGTCTCGAATCCTATCGAACATCGATATATTTTTACCTTGCCGTGCTCTTGATAAACCCTTGACATCTTGTGTCACAATCAAAACAGTTTCTATAACCAAATCCATTTATGTAAAAAAAAAAAAAAAAAAAAAAAAAACTATTATAAGGAATCTAGTGGTGTCCGGATAAATTGTGTATTAATTTCTTCTGTGTTTAATTATTACCCTCCTCCGTCCTTTTAATGAAACCTTTCATCAGGTTGTCAGTATGTGCATGGACACGTGTAGCTATGTCGTGGTCCAGCCCTATTAATGACCTAGAATGTTATCTCCTTGGGCAGATATCTTCTTTGAAAACATCAGTATTTCCCGAGTCATGAAAAGTAGCTCCATGTACCTCTTTAAAGCGCCAACACACCCTATTGAAATAAATAAATAGTTGTAGCCTGACATCACCAACCCTTTCCATATTTATTATAGTTTCTGCTTAAAAAAAAGTCAGTACCCACCCATTTTTGCCTACGGAGAGATTGTTTAGAAGGGAATTTTACCGGATGTCGATTATGAGTTATTGACTAATTCGAAGTTTCTAATGTGGTTTTGCAAGACTGCAATAGGTGCGTCTACCATCATGAACTCGAACAACAGCTGAAAATCCAGCAAATTCTCAAAACAAATATTCGTGATTCAAGATGAGTCGTTATAAGTCAACAAAATGTATCCTGTTTACGACAAATTTAAATAATCCTTAATTTTAGGAGGTTCAATTTCACCTGGATGTTTTCCATTTGATTTGTGGAAGGTGAAGTTACGCATTGAAATTATGACTCGACAAAAACATGTTTTTTAAAAGAGTATTTTTCAGCACTAATTGTTTCATTGCATCATTGTGACGTTTTAAAATTACACAGCCCGCAGCTTTAATATTTAGGCGAGAATATACGAGATAAACGTTACATTGGCATTGCCGAGAAAACGATTAGCGGTGTAGTAATCAATGAATTTTCCGCAAGATCCCTGGATTTAAAGAATCTTGCATGCTTTCTATTCCCATTTGCTTCTAAAATTGATTATTTTGCCATGAAGAACGCTTTGTCACTTGTTTCTATTTTACAGTGTTGTAGGTTGGACAGTTTGTTATCACAGAAGGAGATGGTTATTGAACCAAATGGGTGAATAAAATTGTTTATAATGTGTTTACCGGTGGCCCTAAATTTTCAAATTGATCGATTTTTCCGTTGATACCAGCTGGGAGCCCATCCGGTTCAAATTCTAGGCACGAACGATCAGAGATGTCCAAGCGGACGCATATTCCATCTGGAAACCTCCCTTAATCGACTCCAAACACGTAATTGCGTGGGTTGAATATAAAAGTTGGTGGAGTGTCGAGTATAGAATTTTCTTTCGCGATTACTCAATTCAATGGCTTTTATGATGCCAGTTGTCCTTTTTTTCAGAAACTTTATTTTACAAAGTACGTGATGACGCGTAACTGTTTGTCAGATCTGGAGCGTGAAACTAACTATTTGCAGTGTTGTCTTCAATCAGACACTTTCTCCTTGCGAATGTCAGCATTTGTTAATTATATACCCACGGATACAGTACGTGTTCGTGATGAAGAAGTTAGGGCGAAACAGAGAAGCGTCACACAAACATTTCTCCAGCTTTTTTTCTCCAAGAACGATCTTGACGATGAGCTGTAACGTTATCTCAATGTCAAGTTTTTTTTATTGGAAAATCTAGGATGAAGAACGCCCGAGACATAAAAAGATTCTTCCTTCATTTGAACTCGATGAGGTAGAGAATTTTAATCGAGGTTTATGTAACAGTTTTGACAATGAATTGTGACGTTATCTCAATGTCAAGTTTTATTATTGGAAATCTAGGATGAAAAACGCCTGAGACTTAAAGAGGTTTTTCGTTCAGTTAAACTCGATAAGATAAAGAATCCTACTTAAATTTTATATAAAAAAAGCTGCTTCTCTCGATATTCATTCATCGTGCAGTTTTTTGTTTCCGTGCGATTTTCGTTTGCACAAAATGCAAAATTTCTATACCAATTCAAAGTGCACTTTTGCGCCAAACTTTTGTCGTTTAACACGTACTATTTTAATAGAAGTGCTTTTTTATCAGTGTTTATCAAAGCAGTTGTCTTATTCTGGCCAACAACTACCTAAGTGGAGAGAATTGAATATTTCATGACATGACTGATTTCGAAATCGCACCTCGAAAACAAGAACTATTTTTTTACGTTCAGCCTGCGTGGCAAGTATTCACATCGAAGCGGCCTATTTTAAGAATATTATTTTCAGTCAATTATTTCTGTAAAATTAACATCCTCGACGCTAGACTTACGCACGCATCACGACGATATTCAACCTACACAGGAGTCCTTGACAATTTGTAATAAAAGCAAGCTTGATTTATTATTTCGAATAATTGCAAATACCCAACGTGTGCATGTAAACATTGTTATCTTTTACTCGAGTTGCCCGAGTGAAGTTGTAACATGCATGAGCAAGCCAAATGGAAATTTCGTAAATTAACTCTGAAATACCGTCGCCACTTTTCCTTTTATCCGGTGGATGAAGTGAAAAGTTAATTCGTATTTATTGCTGGCAAGAAGCTTCGTAAATTGCTGTCGTTTCTTCAAACGAAAATATTTTACGTCGATACTAGGAAAACCACGTCGGCACCAATAAATGCACAGGCTTCTACGATGGGTTTCCAAAACCCATCGTAGAAGCCTGTGCATTTACAATTACGGCGATGATAGAGCAAAAAGATCCACAATGAAAGTAGCATTTAATGTTAACTTTTATTTCGGTTAATACACGTCTTCTGTACACAACTTTAACTCAACGGCCGCTTTGGACCTACACATAGCGCCCACACATGTAGGCAGTTTTATTTAATCTCCCCGACTGAAATATTCAACAAGACACGTATCGAATAATTCTGTATGGCTTATCAAAAAATTCGTAAGATTTCAAATCGAGGATTAAGTGCATTCTGGAAATATCTAACAATCTTCAATTTACTTGTTTTCATTACAAAGTATGGCGTTTTTAATAACGCTGTCAATGACGATTTCAAGTCTTCATTCGCGAAGCTAAGATCATATACGCTACTTTAATTTTTCGCCGTTTTTCTTTGCTGGTTTATCCTATGTTTTTATTAAAAAAAACTTATAATGCCGGCTTCGTGGCTTAACAAACAATGTTCACTCCAAACACGTATGTGTGAACTGTAGTGGACTAAGGATAAAACTTTGCTTTATGGAAAAGATCTCAAAATTTTCTCCCCATATTTCTGCTGGTTGATGTAAATGAGAACAACTTAGTTTGCTCACAGTTCGGATCCTTTGTGATCATCGACGACAGAGAGCTCGTGCCAGCGGGAGAACAGTTTTATTTACAGCGTTCTAGAATTTACAACTAAACTTTCAGTTTACCTGTAGTTTGATCTAACACAATTTGTTTTTTTGTGGGGTCTCGAGAAGACGTGGTTGTTGATTTCCCGATGTTTCAATAAGCTGGCAGACATCGCATATGTGTTTAATCGTGGCCCCTATGTTTTGATTTAAGCATTGATGCTTGCTTTATAAGTTAGATTTAATCAAAACGACAACCACAAATCCAACAGAAAAACCCAACAATGAACTCGTACAACTTCAAAGCTACCGTGGGAATGAATCTAGTCAATTTCGGAACAGTTACGACACGCGACGTCAAAGATGTTGCAAAGGTTTCGTTGTTTTTACTCTTCTAGCCTATTGTAAGGTAACGAACTGAATGTAAGAACGCTCAATCCATGCTCAAATGATCCATTAGCATGGCGCAAAGGTCATCAAGCGACCGTAAAATTGTTGACAACTGTATACACATCCACGTCTGTGAACAGATGCACTGGGAAATGAAACTCTCGCTGGCTGGTAGTAGTTTTAGCTGACAAGCGGATTCATGATATCTGCGTTTCACCTTTGCCGAAAGAACCCTTTATCAGTTAAACACTCTTTCACCGTAACTGTAACAAAGTTTGATGTTACATCAGTAATGAAGATCTGGTCAATCAAAGGCTTCCTCCAGCTTTCAATTGGCGTAGATTTTGTGGAGTGTTCATTCTCGCTTGGTAGGCAAGCGCGAGAAGCATATGTATTTTCCGTCATCTCCGAGACAAGCAACTCTCCGTTTCGGCGCTGTTTATTTTGCGATGGAAAACTTCTATAAAATCCATCGGAGCCACTGATGGCTGTAGCAGTCTGATTCTGGCCGCCTTCACCGCGAAAAATTTTGCCTGACTTGCTAGATTTTGCGTGGTTGCCTTTGTCAAAGTCCGCCGTAACGGAGCATGCATTGACAAAGTTCTCGCCGTTCATTTTCATTGTCATTTGTTTCAATTCCCCGTTGCTGCCAGTTTCAGCATCGCTTATGCCGTCTCGACGTTTCTGTGAAGCTGTTTTCGTGATTTCACGTTCTGCTGAGTCGAGATAAATCTTATCGGGAACTTTCACGGCTTCACGCCATGGTTTACCGGATGTACTACCCCAGAGAGAGCCTTTTTCATCATTACCGTTTAATCCTTCCGAATTGATCTTTAATTTCGTCTCCTGAGGGATAGCAGCTTTGCTCAGGGAGAAATCCTCCTCTACTTCTCCAGAAATCGGCCCATTCGGAAGCTCAGAGTTGGAATCATTGGTGTATTTTTCCCGAGAACTTCCCGCGTCATTAACGTTGAGTGTTGTCATTTTGTGGTTTCCCAGAGGTTTTCCTGTTTGGGTGCTCTGTAAGCGCGGTGCTGCATCCGAGCTTGATAAACTTAAATCCGGGCCAAGAACTTGATGTGGAGAATGCAAACACGCTGGCGGATTAACTTCAGTGCCATTGAATTCAAATTCGTTGCTTGCAGCATCATCACCAACAAAACTAGAATCACTGCTGTCGCTTTCATGCAAGCTTCCTCTGCAGTCTTCGTCTTCAATGCCATCCCACTCCAGTGAATTCGCATCGCCTCTCATGAGGAAATTTGGACCCTGAAATTACAAACAAGTATCGTAATAAATAATATTTCTACATTGGACAATGACAAGTTAAAACATGCTTGATCTGGCCACAAAGTTTATTTTACGATGTTTTTTGGCGCGCGAGTTGTCGCAATCGACGTTTAACGTATTTAAATTGCAATATTCTTCCATACAAAGAGACGTCAACACTAACCGTTTCGATTCTCGGCTTTTTGTTAGAAGTTGTTGCAATCCCTCGCTGCCACCTTGAGCGTTTTCCTCTTCGTCTTCGGCTAAAATTTTAAAAGATGCAAATAAAAACCAAACGCGTCATCCAGATGCGAAACTCTAAGCGCTGCATAATCAGATGGAAAGCTCTGAAATTACGACATTCTCGTTCACGCTCTGACTCTACCTGTTTTCATACGCCAAAAGCAGTCGAGCGTCAAGGATATTATCGGCCGGCTCCCAGGTGTTGTGTCTGTAAAATTCAACAAAATATTCTTATCATTCTGTAGCTGTAAAATAATTTTACTGTCGATGCAAAATTGTTCTTACTTTGCAGACCATCCCTTCCACTTCACCAAGTACTCGATTTTACCCTGTCAAAAAAACACAGGCAGAAAATTCACATTTAGGGAAGCACTTCTGGCGAAAATCAACACAAATATGATACGGTTTCGACAGCAGATTTCTTACCTTTCGGGTTCGTTTTTTCAAGATACATTCGGCAGCGAAAATGCCATCAACTGGCGGTGAATTGTCGCTGTTTTCCACCGTGGACAGTGCTTCAGCCATCTCTCCATTTACGTCCATTGCCGTCTCGGCTGGAAATTCAATATTTACTCGGCCCGAGGGAATTCGAATTTCATTCATTGTCCATCCCGTAATATTAACCAAAACAATCACGAATTACGTCATAGCACCTAGATCCTATGGGCTGCGAAATCGCTTTTTATCGCTTCCCGAAGGTGTAATTGGCCTTTCTCACTTCTCTCAAAGGCGTTAAATTAAAACATATACAGAAAACCCGCGTAGTATTGTCGTTGAGAGAGAATGGTTGAGTCTGACCACCGACTCTGTTTTAAATTGCTCACTAACGCTATTTCAACGTGTTATCAAAGTTAATCTGTCCACCTGACGTCACGAAACACTTCCAAATGAGATGAAATCGGCTGACTTGGCTGAAAGCGTTGTATGAGAAAAAGAACACGTATGAAACCAAAATAGCAACATTGTGAAATCAGCTACGGGCTATTCTACTAGTTTTGAACCGGTTCTTATTATGCTGATGTACCAGTATTTGTTTCACACGTGGAGAACGTTTTAGTTTCGAACTATTGTCTTGATCATTTCCAGTTTTTCAAGGAACTTCATGCCATAGTCACCTCAAAGCTACCAGCAATGAAAACCTAAAATCTGAGAAACCCTTTCGTGTATTGTCGTCGTTTAGCGTTTCAAATTTAATCAAATCTCTTTGAAACGACGTGCGCTGTTCTTTGCATCCGTTTTCAGCCATCAAAGAATTAAGAACAGCGAGAATGTTTTCAGTAAAATCACACGATGCCTTAAAATGTCGGCAGAAATGTCTCATGTTCAACCACGTGCACAAGGTGTGAGAAGCACATGATGTGAATTTTGCAAGCTAGAGAAGTATGTTCGGTCAAATTTATTGTAAGATAAAATAGACAGCTTAGGCTTCTCGCTACGATTTCAAGGCACAGATTAAATCAACTTAACTCAAGTCAATCTTTAAAGGCAAACATTAAAATTAATTCTAAAGAGAACTGACAATAAAACGTAACAGAGTTACAATTATATTTTTGATATCTTTTACCTGAGAGTTGTTTTACTTTTTTGGAAGGAAGAAGCGAAATTGTTCTTCCTTTCACACACCGAAAATTGATTGTTTAGTCATTGCGTTAATAGCGAATTGGAAACGGGAAGCGGTTGTTCATGTGAGGAAGCTTTATGAAATGTAGATACCCATTGCAAGATAAATGAAGGTGTTTAAGCTATTTTGAACTTCAAGAGAGACTAAAATAGACACTTTAAATATTGCCTGTAATTTACGCTTGTTCGCTTGCCCCGACAAGGCGTTAAAGAAATGAACCACTATACAAATATTAAACCTTAAACTTTATTATCAGACTACGAGTAAACCTTTGGTTTAGCACCAACTCTTCTCTTACTTTTCCCATGACTTTCAGAAGTTTTGTACTGTGTAAACATTTTTGTCTGAACTCCCAGCTGCTCCGGTAATTTCCGCGAAAATATTAGTCACTGATGAAATTAACTCTGGCAAAGTATGAAAAAAATACGAAAATACAATTTCGTCATACGGCGAAAGCGCTGACTTTAGTTGATACGCGCGGAGCGTGGGCAAAAAATACAATTTCCATAAAAACAAATAATTCTTGTCACTTTTCTTAATCTGACCACTTCAATCGAAACAAGAAATTGTTCGGTTCTTATTTGCAAAAAAAATACGTGGGTTTCTTTGAAAACATCTTCGTCACAGAAGTACAGATGCCATCGTAATTGCGTAAAGAAAACTAACTGGCCCACGCTTCTTTTACAGAAATTCAAATACAGATAAAAGTGAAGTCGAAGCACATCATGAACATAACTTATTTCTAGTCGATAAATTTTTAATCTTTTTTCAGGGGAGTTAATTGAGCTACCAAGTGTCACAGAAATAGCTCCACTTCTTTGAGGATTTAATCAGAACTAATGCCTTGGGCATTAGTGTGGCATAAATAAACAGTTACTTTCATTAAATTTCGTCCTTCGTTTTCATTTTTGGTCGGCTCACTTGCCTTAGTTCAGTGAAGGTAACGACTGGACCTTAACTTCTAAACGCTCCTTAAAATTTACGTTTATCATCATTTTAGCGAGGCTAAAATAAATCAGACAAGCTCAAACTAAAAGATGTGAGTGCCATGTTACAAATTAATGGTGTACTTCTGATATCTGAGGGGGAAATTTTGAAAAGCTTTTGATCTTTCGACGTCATGCCTTCATCGGTGATTCCCGAACGCACGACAGATTTAAAAAAAAAACGAAAGAAAACAAAAGTGATATTCTTACAGAATCATGTAACCTCGAGACTTCAGGGTGGAAATCACAAATGACAGAAAATGCTACCTTAGATGGCAGCCTACGGAAACTCTTAAAGATCGCGTAGACATGAAGTTTTGTAGACTCATAATCCGTTTACGAAACGACAATGTTATGAAATCAGACCGAACACATTCGGGCCAACTTGACAGGATATTACATGTTTCTCTTTCCAAGCCGTCATTATTTTCTATAGGAGTCTATTTTTCATCACATTCTTGAAACAGTCACGTTTCGAGACTTTTGGCAAAGGTTGAAAAAAGACCATGTTGCTTTTTTTATTTTTAAAAATTAAAATATATTTATTGGCGTTGGACACATCGGGGTAATTATGGCGAGGGAAGAAAATAATTATTTTGCACAAATGACAGTCACAAGTGGTTGACGTGAAAGAATGATATGAATTGAAGGTCCTTGGGAAAAAGTCAACGAAAGCAGAATAGAGAATCCTGGTGGGGGAGAAATTGGCAATGATCAAAACTTAGCTCAAGATGCCTAAAGCGCTTCTGAAAATGATCGCGAATTTTTGCCTCTTCCCCATGATTCTTTCGATTTGTAAGGAACACAGAGCGGTCATTCAGTGGTGTTATTGGTGAACAGGGGAATATGTCTTACGTACTATTATTAGCAGCGGAAACACGAGCATTTCCAGATTGTGTATCCTTTAAGGGAAGAGGAGGTTTTCAAAATTGATGCCATCTTTATGACTCTCTGACGAAGAAGGAAGAGCTAAGCGTACAAATATAGAAACGCCTGCATCATATCTGACAGCTCTTGACATGTCATGAATAAGCTCGCATAAGAAGATTTCTAATATTGGATAATGCAACAAATGCTGCATGTGACTCGAAATTAAAAGTAGAGAATTCTGACGTACGCAAACGGGAAGAAAGTGTGTCTTTTGGCTTTTTGTTTGATTAATTTTTGTTACTTAACTACTTTTGTGTGGGTTTCAAAACACCTGTTTTGATCATCTTAAACTTCCTCAGAGGAAAAAAGGAGGAAAGGAGATAGAACAAACAAGCTTATGTCCAAAAATTAGCAGCAATAATTGTTTTCTTGCAATTTCCTGCGCACTTTTAGAGCCTTATCGCATCTGGTGGTAGTACGGAGTCTGATGGGTTCGACTTCCGCAGGAAACAGGACGTTGTGTATGGACACCAAGCATATTTTCTCGAACATTCTGAATTCATGGATTTTTCCTTTTGCATGTAAAATAGTTTTTCAAAATTACTCGAGAAAAAAAATATTTTACGCCATTTGGATGGTAAGGGGCTCGGCGAGTTTCATAAAAGCGACTTAGCAAGCGTCAACTAGCCAGCTACAGTGGGAGAGATTCAGTTTGGCAATCATCGCCAAATCTTTGAAGGAGCTTCGTTGCAATGATCAACTCTCTTGACCAAGAAATAATTTCTCCTTACAGGATCAATTCACTGTCTAACAGACAGGTGATGATGAGATGAAAGGAAAAATATAATATGGAAGAAATTGAATCACCACTGAGTTCGTCAGTAAAAGAAACATACATGAGAAGCGTATAGAAGATAGTAAAGAAAACTTGGAAGTTTAATTGTTTTCTTCCTCGAAACCTCCTTCAAATTGATTGAGGCTAAATTGTTTTGAGCGTAGATGATCTAAACGGGAGGCAATGATTAATCATAAAGAAACAATGATGGAGAAAATTACAGAGGACTCAACAAGACGAACTTTAATAGAATTGGCGAATTTTTTTTCGAGATCAGCACGAAATAATATGAACAGAAATAAGAGAAGAGAAAAATTATACATCAATTTTTTTTTTTTTAGATATGGAAGCATAAAAATTCAGTACATTCAGTTCCATAAATTCGTATTGCATAATTAACCGAAAATGTCTTTATCTTTTCATGCTGAATGGTAGATTTGACGCAGACACAATGAAGCTGAATCATATCGCTGTATAATACGATTAACTGCCATTCTGACACAAATAAGCAAAAAGGATGCATTAGATATATTTACGAAGACAACTTTTTCACCGGCTTCTCGAAAAATTGCAATTTGATTTGTTTCGGTACTCGAACTATGAAAATGCACTTTTAAATATGAACAAAATACGATGTACTGTACTGTAACATTGGGACACAATATCAAAAAGCTGTATTCAAGTTGAATAAAAACAAGTCGCAGAATGATTATCGCTGATGGAAAAGTTGATTAACATAAAAATATACTTTGAATTTATTAATAAGGAATTTAATACTGTCTGAGATGATGTTGGAAAGAATCAAAATTAGCAGCATCGGACATCTGTTCTCTTTGAGCAGCAGGAATTTATAACAATCTCTCTTTTTTTTTTGACTGATGTTAGTAATTATTTTAAGGTGCCACACTTTTGGATTTTTAGCAACGTTTTGGCATTCCAATAAGCAACTTTTCAGCGCTTTATGAAGACAATCGGGACAGGCCTAGCGGTGTGAGTTTGACTGACAAAGCACTGTAACCCCGCATTGCTCAAGAGAATCCGTTAAAAATTGCCTTACCCTTATTACATTCAAGAGACTTTCTTGACATTTTGTTCCAAGTCAAGAGCCAAGAGATTATTTATAAAACAGTTTATAGTCTTTTGCAAGAACTGATACGCTAAGTTGAAGTTTGTAGAGACACCTGCTTGGGGAACGTGCTTCCCTTATGAAATTCGAACAACTCACTAATGCGGGCATTGTAACATGGAAAACTTCTCACTATATGTACGAAATGTTTTGCCAAAAACCAACACCTACCAGCAGGAAAGGTTAACGACCTGGATCTTTATTTGTCAGTCCACTCAAGCGAAAACGTTTTGTTAAACGTTGCGTCTACATACGAGATTAGACTACCATTCCTTTCCTCGGTTCTATCAGCAAGGAGCGAAATAAAACGCGTGTTTAACATATGAATGAGAAAGAGTGATATAACCTGCCCTGCCTTCATCTCTTCTCGCTCTTCTGTTATTCATTAAAAAGAGCTTCCATCGAGGAAAAGGGCATTGTGAGAGTTAATAGCCTCTCCGAAATA